AATTATTAATACACCAAATTTTATCAAAATCTGTTCAGTAGTTTTTTCGAATAGTAACAAACATACATACATTCTCATATACTTGCACATCTATAATATTAGTAGTATTACTATTATATTTTATCGTACTATAGGTCCGATTGTTAAAAAAATGGATATTGGATGGTTAAATAGTATGAATAAATATTAGGTAGGTACGCTTCATTAGTTGTACCGCAAATGATCCATCTAATCCATTCTGGTTTCCTCATAAATTACTGCCAAAAGCCCATTAGGTATAAGGTAAGATTTATTTATATCTGCAAAATCCACTACACTAAGAACGCAATATTTAAGTGTTTTTTTTTTTTTTTTTTTAAAAGGGTTCCCGTAAAAATAATCCATAATAGTTTTGGGTCAGTATTTTTTGTAAATCTTAATTTACTATGTTCACATCTCGTTTGTCAACAATAACAATGAAATATATATTTTCCAAATATATAAATCATACTTCGACAAATCATGAGATAATATCTTCTTAATAAATTCGAGAGACAATTTACAAAGATATTTTTGAAGTCGGTTAGGTCGGTTAATATTAATATACCACGAAAACCTATACCTGTACATCCTACAGTTCCCAGTCCATGTCAAGGTCCGAAGGGTTCAAACTGCGGTCGGAGACATTGAGACTTATATAGTAGCATCACCACAAACTCTGCCAAGGTTTTCCTTAATTAGTCGGTCATCAGACGCGTCGCATAGAGGTTTGAATACATACTTATATTAGTATCGACGTTTTGGTTAAATAGATGTCTAATTAGATAAATACTAAATATTTTTTTCTGTACAGATATTCGTCTGCTACTGTTAAATAATAGCCGTACGTTACTCGAAATGCTTATAATAATACATGTCTAGCTAGCTGTAGGTAAAATCTCGAGGAAGAGTTTTTATTACTACGTTGAAACAAATTTGTATTTAACCGACTACAAAATCGAAAAGGAGGAGGTTATATGTTCTACGGCGATGTATGTTTTTGAGTATGATTTTCATAAAAGGCATTCCAGTGTCTTAAACTAATAACTAAAATAAATAAATATTACATAACGTCACATATGTTATGTAAATCGAAAACAATGAAGGTTATCCCCAATACAGGAATTTTGAACAACTGTTCACGGGAATTTTGAAACTGAAATAAAAAGTTATTTCTGAACATTAACATCTTTATACATTCAAGAAGCATTCAACGTATCACAGGTGACGTGTTTTAAACAATGCTAGGACACCTGAGGTAGACTTAGCATTTAGCAATCGAGCTGACTGCCGCCGACGCCGCTCTGTAATTTGTCGCGAGCCGGCGTCTATCATCACACTGTGAAACATAATTATGTCATATTACCCACCCATTGCACAATACGTAGTATATAGTACCATGGAAACTGTCGCCACGCCGCTCAAATGTCGCAATGAGATCGGAACTTAGATTTGTCGATATCCTTCTTTGAATAGACACCCAAATTTACGCTTATTTAAATAGTATATATATATCTATCTTTGAGAATTCTTATTTATTTAAAATAGTTTAAATAGTATACCGCAAGTTATAACATTTTTAAATGAAATGTAACGTTATACCAATATTACTATTTTTAATAAAACAGTTTCCATTTATTCTCAATAATCATGATTGACTACGAGTTTTCTTCACACTCCTCTGCTTATTTAGACTCATCGTCAACCCTTTTACGTCCCCAATGCAGGTTCTCAGACCTTCTTTATAAAGAGGATGGGCCATGACCCTCCACACTGGCCCAATGCAGATTGGAGGGTATTAACAAAGGCAAAAACAGCCGGGACCAAAGGTTTAACGTTTAAGGTTTTGCCTTCCGAAGCACGGAGTAGCTCACGATGGTAATTTTCAAGTCACCCATCCCGTGACAGACCCTTGCCAAAGTTATTTTACAACAACGAACTCGGGTCGGCGTTTATCAACTACGCCACAGAGCTACTCGATTAAATATTTGAATTATAAAAGGTTTGGTATCAAATGTGCTTTTTGTCATGAGCTGCTTATTTGGGATTAGATTCGGCATGGAAGATAATCACCGGTCTTCTTAGAATGTAGGAATTAAGAGTCACAGTGGATTGGAGTATTTAATATATTTCACGTTTTAAGTACATAAAAGTCAGACGAGAGTAAAGAAGAGAGTGACATAAAAACAATAAACAGTGTATAAAATACTAATACAAAAAAGGTATACGAAAAGATGCCAGTATCTGATTAATATAGAAAAAAGGTTTTATCTACAGGTCTTCATTATGATCGTTATCTTAGAATGGTGATATTATTACCAATATATCGACTGTTCAAAAGGTCAAAAAAAAACCCATTTCGAACACTTATTTTATTTATCGAATTTGCTTGTAATACTTTATTAATCAATATGCAATATGTTACTTTCAACGTTCAAATCAAAACACGATAATATTTTAAATATAAGATAAATAAATCATACATCGTACAGGCAGTGTCAGAGGTTAACCAATTATTATCGACTCCAAATTAAGCACGACAATTAAATTGAGAAAAACCGCGTTATTCCCATAGTTAGCGGCGCGGTGGTGTCGAGATAGGCCGAAGGACAGTCGCAAGCTTACAGCCGTGACATCAATAATTGTGCTTTACGCCCTGACCTCCTTCGTGTATACGCACATACAAAAGTGTTGTATTTTTATTACACACCAGTTTCGCCGGCGTAAATTATAACCTATCATCTTCTCGTTAGATGTAGCTTTCTGTAGGTTAAAGAATTTTCGTTATCGGATCAGTATTTTCGAAGATTACCCCCTACAAACAAACTTTACCTGTAGTATTAGTATACGTTTGTGACATTTTTAGTGAGTAAAGCTTTTAAATCAGTGGGTCTTAACTGGTAGTCCACAGACCACTAGTGGTCTCTATTACTTCAAGATGTCCACGTGATTTTTCCCAATAACAAATAAAATGTTGTGTGTAACTTTTAATTATTTTATGCGTGTTGTGGTTTAAATGGCAACATGAGATAAAATAAATAACTGGTATATCCAACAAAATAAAAATTATGGCATTTTAAGAGCTTATCCCTTAACTTAGCTAGCCAGGTATTATATGAACTAATAGTATTATAATTAAGTTAATTGTATTGTTTTTTTATACTTGCCTTCAGTTAGTGACATTTATCTTCGTCTCAAGCCTTTTAAGTATTTTAAACCTATTGAGAATGCAAAATTTATCACATATGTATAGCTAATAATTATGAAGAAAAGTTTTCTGTTAATGTGCCGTAATATAGAATGAAATATAAATGACAGGCATGAACAGTGTAAAACTTTTACCAATTGTCGTGTCATGACTACGTCCAATATCATGCATCTCCTTCTGTAAACTCTGTAAGCTAGTAGCTTACTTAAGGTGCTGTAAAACATAGGCTTTTTGAGCTCAAAATCCAGACAAAACTACCGCTGTGAAAGTGACAACCGCTCAAAAAGTGTCAATAGCATCTGAAAATTTGACCCTCGACAACCTATACAAAAACTTATACAGCCGCTTCTCGGACACCCTCCGAACTAAGAGAAATTGGAGTCCTCTTCTCTGCAAATTTACTCAATTTATTTTGAACTCTACATACAATGCGTTAAGGTTTAAAATCAAGTGAGGAAATTTAACATTTTACTGTAGGTTGACGTGTTGTTGACTGTGCATGACCACGTTTCAGTTTTCGCATCTTGATTAAAGTAAAAAGTCCTAACTAATGAGTTGACTCTTACTGGAACGTTAGTTTACCAATAACTCTATGATCTCAGCGTCTATCAATAACTTTATGATCTCAGCGAATATAATGAAAGTGCAAGTGTGCAAATGTAGGCGCGCCTGTACCGTACCATCAAGCACGTATTCGGCCACAGGTGCGTAATGCGCATCTAATAATTCACGTCTGTTGATCTTGCGCGCGCCGACGTCGTGACGTCACCGCCTGCGCACCGCGCTGCGCCGGCGCAGCTATCGACGGGTTCCACGATTAACCCAACATTAGCATGTTTGCACGTTACAGTAATGGCTAAGCATGACCTCAGTTTAACAGTTTAAATTATAGACAGAGATTGTTTCATAAGCTTTGCAATTCGCAATTTGATAAGCTTGTTGGCTGTTATGAACTTCATCAGTCTTTTTAATAGCTTTAGAATTGTATGAGAAATTAAGTAATAAATCTAATTACTTATTTGAATATTTTAATTTATTAGCAAAATCATAAAAGCAATATTAAAATTAGTAAGTTACTGATCATTTTACTTATAAGTTGTAATATTAGGTGTATCAATTCTTACGTAATTGTTACAAAAACAAAATCACGTGTCTTTACAAAATTATTAATAAATAAATTGTCATATGATTTGCACCAATGAATTAATTAATTCATAAGGAAGGTGTAAATGGGTCATGGTCCTTTCTCTGTATTTCATTTCATTCGGTTCCATCTATATGCCTGTGGGGACATTAATGGACTGGTGATGATTACGTTAATAAAGAATATAAGTAGGTTTCACTAATTATAGAGACTACTTTCTATTTTTTTTTAAAACATTTCATACAGTTCTGTAGACCAATGTGGCTAAGAATATCTAATTACAAGATTGCCCGCAAAAACAGTTTAAGTAATTTCTTTTAAATTAGTTAAGTTAAGGCACATCTAGGGTTGCCTACATTTATTTGAAGATTTCAAATATTTTAAAAAAGGTATTTTAAAATCCTCCTTTGCATATAAGAGAATGCGTGACTAGCACTAGTATATTACATATTGTGTAAAAAGACTAAACTGTGTAAAAGTTTTTAGTATCCTGTGTTAATGTTATAGATTATAGAGTACCTTCAAGAAATAAAGTACAATCAGACAATACTCCATTTTAGAGTAAGGTTAGCAACTCTAGACATACTAAGGAAAAAAATGGTGTTGTGAAACTGTGTTGTTTTTTTTCAGAGCTCTGAATGTCCCGTGGAAGAGAAACCAAGCGGCGACACTAGTTACGTCGTAGGGGCGTGGCCCGCGTCCACACCCGGTCACACCGGCTACCTCACTGTAGCCACGCTACCGCCGGACTTTAAGAAAAGTAAGTATTGTTAACTCTATACATTTTTTTTTTCTTCTTCTGATTTCATATTAAGACTTCATAGTAATACTTAGTGAGAATTAATACCAAACAATCCGTGCAGCGATTTTCTCGCTTTTAACATAAGTATTATTTCTCACTTTTGAAAATTGTAATCGGTTTTTTAATAATAATTATTTCGTTTTCTAAGTCTTTTAAAATTCATGGCTGGAGTTCTGACTTTCTAATTAACTGATTAAAGGTATTATTGTGTTCACCACACAGTCATCAACTGATTAAATCCTCAACCGGCCGATTGACTTAGTCGAGCCCTACAACCCTTTTTAAACATTTATTATATTAACTTATTAGTTGGCGTGTTTTCCTGAATAATTTATGGTCTTAACTTTTGATTTATGGTCTATGACCAACCCTCGCGAAAGTGTATTATCCAACAAAGTTGCTTATCCTTTAAAGACCAAACCTAGGAATCGCTGCTTGTTTTTTATTTATTTATTTTTTGTTTAAGATAAAAGCCATTTTATACCAATATTATATAACTTTAATTGTGCTTGGTTCGTCTTTATTTATTATATTGAAAGTATCGTATATACTGAACTTTTTGGCACAAAGATTAGGTTATAAAAATGAACTCGTTGAGATAATCCCTTTGTTTCCAGGTAAAGCAAAGGATATGATGAAGTCAGATGTTCCTGAAGACAAATCAGATTCATCAGAAAGTGACGATAGAATGGTTATAGATGAAAGTGTAAATCAATAGAATTTATTCGTTGCTTAATTATAAGTTGACAGTGAAATAAACATATATCTTAAAAAATACTGTTTTATTTATAAATTCTAGACATAAAACTCATATAAGTAACCTTTAGTCGTTCATCAGTAAATTGAAATAAGTATGTGGTTCAAGTTTCCAGCTATTATGATGAAACCGAAGACGACCGAACGTACAATTAAATTTTATAGCGAGTCTTGTTTCAATACCAATTAGGTATAATATACAAAGCTCTGGTGTTCGTCTCTCTCACACTCAACATGGTGCGATACTTGAATCATTCTGACTGGCTGATATTTTTCGTGCTTTGAAAAACGAAAATGCGTCACTTCATTTTGTTCAACTCGTAAAAGAAAAAAAAAATAAAGCAAAATGTTTATATATGAAAAAACGAGACTTAAGTTTTTATAATATTATGAATACTTTATGCATACAAGTATTTGCGGACCAAAAAATAATATCAAAAAATATAAAATAATACGCACAATAGAGGCGTTTTTCGATTCCTATAAAAACAATTACTTTAAGAAGACGACAGCGATTCCTGCTTAAGCTAATCTTAGGCCCAAATATTTTTCAAACTCCGACTTTTATACTTAGCTTTATGTTATTTGTGGATGCATCCTTTTCAATTTAATGACTTAAATTTTACCAATTAATATTGTCTCAAGAATTTTTATCCTTTCGAAATACGTTTAAATAAAATACTCATTTAGTTAAGAAGATGGTTTATTAAATAAAAAGCCTTAAAATAAGTCGTTACCGAAGCGTAAATTATGATTAAATAAATAAACTTACTTATGTAAATTATATACTTAAATTAAGACTACGTTAGTTAAAACTTAAATGGTATAACTTATTTCATGATATTGTGATAAACTGGATAATAATTTGGCATTGTTTGTTCCGAAGCACATATGTTATTGCTTAATTTTTTTAAAAAGGAATGTGTTACAATAAAAGCTGTATTTTAAATAAAACCTATATATAACTTAAAAATAATTTCTACATAATAAAACAGAATAATGAGATTAAAATAAGACACTCAAAGTTAATAAGTTGATTTCAGCCAGATTATTTATAAAATTAATTCCTTTAATATATATATATTAAATTTTAAAGCGTTTCAAATATAATCAAAACTGTGATTATACAGTTGATACAAGGAATATTTGGAAGTCTCAATTCTAAAATGCAACGTCATATAGAAAAAGAAAATATTTTTCCTTATTATAATCATCAAAATAATGATTTCACTTAAAAAGATAAAACCTTATTGAAAAATAAGTAAAAGAAGAACAGAAATTCATTCCCTTACAATTAAAATTCACGAGTATCTAACATCCATGGATGCTAAGCGTCCCTCCACCTTTTGCACCTAACGCAAATCTTAATAAAGTTTATATAATCAGTACCATTTAAATACAAGATTCATACATATTGCAGTAATCACATCGATATTGCGCATATATTGTCATGTGTCATATATTCTTCTTTGACTAACGAGTCTACGCATGTTTCTAAGTTTTGCATTGTTTGATTAAAAGCACAAGGTTCTTGTCTCCAATGAAACATTGGTGTCTGGCGCTTCAAAACTTCCTGCCAAATTCACAGAACAATTTTCCAGTTAGCGAACCATAACCATATTTTTTTAACTGGTTTGCATTGCGCCCTAACAGGAATTAACAGTGCGTAAAAGAGCTTTATCTATAGCATTATAACACTATATTCTTCTTTAATTCACATAATTGACACGAACAAATAGAATTTCTAAGTCATCAAATAACATTGAAAAAAAATATTTTCTTTCTAACGTCTGTATACATAAAATTTTCATAATAATGCTCTCTTATCGGTACATGGCTCTTGCATAAAAGCTGAAAGATCTTAACGAGATCGAATAAATTTTTGTAATTTTTCTAGCAAAAATAATTAAGGTGGTATGATAATAATAGGAACATGTACAGCTTCTATAAAAATTCAGAATTCAGTCTATCGCCAGCTTAAGAACGAGCCAATAAAAATATCATTTTCTAAAATTTATTACAAGCATATATTTTTATATTGAACGTCACACGTTCTTGAAATACTCGTTTTGAGATAAGTATTAATTTCTATATTATTCGTTAAACACTATCAGTTATAATAGCGCTATGTTAGATTTACTATTATAGTTTACTTAGTCTCTAGCGGAGTTCATATGCAAATACATACATATTATTAGTGGATAAATTGGCAAATAATTATTTATTACTATGTTTATATTTGTTTTTTTTTTACGTCTAATGGAGAATAAATGTAACCATACCCAAGATACAATTATTACTAATAACTCTTTTGTGAAATATTTGTATTTTCTTTTCTGTAGTCACATTTTTAAATTCAGCATTATTCTATACACCACAAGTTTTTATTTATCTAAGAAAATTCACAAATTCAACATAAAAAAATTGTAATAAAACCACAATAAGCAAGATATTAACGAATCATACATATGAATATGAAGAAAAATGTTAATGCATTTGCATCACTTGTTTAGGGCTTATAAAGATTTACTCAAAATATGCAAAATGTTTCTGTATCCATGACGTCAGCTTTTCAACAAAACAAGTTTTTAAAAAACAAAACAAGCACGCCTGCGAGCGTATAGAATACAGCAACATGTATTCTTGTCAATAATACGTGTAATCTGTATTAACAAACTATTTTTATCAGTTGTATAGAAGACTTTTAAAGGGTCAAATGGTGTCAGTAAAAAGTGAGAAACTTATCTAAAGTCGCTAAAGTCGGTACGCAATTGTATGGTGGGTTTAACGGGGCGAGTTACTAGAGAGCGCGGGGGAGGGGCGCGGGCGGCGCGGGCCGCTTGCGACGCCTTCACAGCGCCCTCTAGGCGCACGCGCAATTCCTGAGATTGCATCATCTGCTTGAACTCCTGCAAACAAATATGATAGATACCATGGGAATCAATTTAAACAACATCACATACATTCCTCAGATGCCAAGATGAGTAGCTAAATATACGGCGGGTATTATAGTATCTGAGACAACGAAGGTAACACGTCATCCAGACCCGAGACAATATGGAAAAGTTCATCTTCTACAGACCTCAGAGATGGCGACACCTTGAAACCGGCATGAGAACCACTCGTCTTCGTCTATATATTGAAAAACGGAGTCCCGTAACCATGGTTCGTTACTGTTTTATTTTGGGGATATTCAATATCAAAATCATTAATGAGAATACTAATATATAATCTTCGATCAACAATACAACTAGATGCCCGGTCAGTGTCACAAATGGCCGAAGAAATAACACCTCACTTCAGAGTGAGGTCTTACTTTGTTTGAGTTTGTTTGCGACGGCGCCAACATTCGGACGTGTTACGATGCCACAGTGCGTATTAAAACTGCAAAAAATAACTATCGCAATAAAAATGTATCTGTTGGAATATCACATTTTCGGTTTGTAAATGTCCTTTCCATAATTAATAATTTATATTTTGCAATAAAATAACAGAGTTTTGTTTCTAAGCCCGCGTGGGTTGGCTTAGAAACGTGGCAAAAATTTGACCAAATATTCGATGTTCTCGGACAGCACATACATGGAGTAATGTGTACTATTATATTATTTTACCAAAAATTTTAACACTAATTAAAAACCATCTTGATGTAGTGATTCGTGTTCTCGATTACAAAGCCGTGAGCATGAACATGTAGATTTGTATCGGTCTAGGTGTTTTATATCTATATTGAGTACCTATTAATAAGAAAACTAAAACAAAAGATGCGGTCCCTGAAAGTGACGAATTAGGTTTAATTCGTCACTTTAACTGAATTACTTAAATCGATGATTGAATATTAATAGAGATGAAGGTTGGAATATACAATCGATACAATAATTAGTCGAATGAAAAAAATAATTAACCTTAATTATGTACCCAAAACAATGTTTAAATAAACCGCGTAAATGGCGACTCTGGAGACGTGACGTCATTTGTGAGGTAAACAAAGGGCGTTTTCAGTGAAAAGAAAAATTAATTTTAGTATTGAGTATGTATAGTGAAACTCTTAAATAAATAATACAGAAGACTGACTCTTGTAACTTGCTTAAAATCAAGTAAATCCTTAAAACCATTTTACGCTTTCAATGTTTCCCGCTCTTTCCTTAGTAATTTTACTCTCAATTCACCCACAAATGGCGTCATTTGCTCTGATTGGTATTTCGTTTGACGTGAGACACAGACTACAAATATTGGAAAAATATTTTTTTTATATTGATTTGAAAATATAAACAATTATTATTTAGCAAAAATATCCAGCGAATAATCTTTAAACTGCATGAACTTTACAACCACACACAATTAAATTTTTTATCCAATTGCTGCCCGGTCCCCTAATATCAACACATATTTAACTAAGAAAAATAAAATTGACAACGCGACTCAATACTTACCCAGTTATACTCTTACAGATTGTTCTCTGTGGTATTATGTTCCTTGGTTGTCGCAGTGTATAGTGTCGTATTTGAGCATTATTTTAGTATGCGAGGCGTTATCTAGTTTTATTGTGAATCGAAGTATATAATTTAATATTTGCCATGTATATTTTATCATAATCAGATATGTAATGGTGTTATTTGAGTTTACCTGTGGGTATTTAGGTCCAATACGATTCAGCCATTGCAGAGCAAAGTCATGCAGCGCGCGGACGTGCGGCTGTGCACGGGATAACTCGCTGCCCTCACGTAGATAAGACATCACAATGGGCACCAAAACCCATAGTAGTTGAATACCTATGTATTATGAGGAAAAAAATTTAAAAGTTAGATGAATGACGGAAGGGAAATGAATATTATATACGCCATTTTTATTGCATTTTTTTTTGCTGACTGCTATTAAAAAAACTGAGAGTCGGTGGCACAGTCAGATTATACATATTAAGAATTTCATATCTTAATTACGTTACTACAAAGTGATAATAATACCTAGAAAAAACGGAAAATAGATACAGACGTATATTCTTACCTCTGTGGGTGTCCTCTGTGATTTAGCAATAACAAATATGGTATAATCATTAATACAAGACTGCATAAGACATTGTCGTATAGATTACCAGATATATTTACCAATTTTCATTTTTAATCGTAAAATCGTATTTAATTTCTGCAATCGCAATAAAGGATGTGATAGTCAAGTTTGTACTTGGCACGAATTTTACTGATTACATGTCCTTTGTGGAAATTGAAACTCGTAGATTTCTGTTCGTGGACTTAAACAAACAAATTAGTAATAAGTGAGTCTCGTTTCAATAACCATAAGGCGCCAAATGTCTCAGATGAAGGTTAGGCGAGTGTAGGTATAGATGTACCACGTGATCGATATTAGCTGCGCTTCGAAACTTATCGTTCTGAACCTGACAGTATATGAATGAGCTTTACATCAGTCGTATAATTCCCGCAAATTGCTAATGGGCCTGGTCGCCATCTTGATGACGTAATAGGGTAGTTTCTGTAGTAAAAATTAGTCGCGAAATTGCACAAGAACTAAAATTTAATGAGTATAAAATATAGATATTCTTTCTAGTTTTGAGACTTAAAATAGCACGTCTGTCTTAAAAGTGTACTTTTGAAAGTGATTTTTTGTCGTGTTTCACGTAACCTGAAACACAACCCGCTATTGTATGACGTAACTATGGCGACAGCTGTCTGATTAGTCACAGGGATATATCAAATAATTATAAATCAAATTCCTAGATGGCGCTAGTCTCTTTTTATTTCGTAATCGATCGTTAGATGCATTGTTCTCGTTTTATTGACATCTATTAATCTTCTACTCTATGCATATGTTTGTGTTCATATCAGAATGACGTCATGAATATGTCTGACAGCATATTCACGGGTATAAAATAAGTTTTTACAAGTTATATTTCAAAGAGAGTAGAATACGCAGACTGCCAAATAATTTACGTCTTGCATTTTGTGCAATCTATACTGTCTATTTTGAAATGACGTCACCAGCAATCTGTACGAGATAGCACGTATCAAGTACTCACGCGCATCCTCCGGCGCGGCGGCCACCAGTTCCTGCAGCGCTGTGACGGCGGCGATGGCGGCCCGCGCGTGCGCCATGTCCGCGGGCCGCCGCGCCGCCGCCGCGCGCGCCATCACGCGGCCCGCCAGCGCGCGCGCCCACCACCCCGCGCCACCGCCCCCGCCCCCGCACCCGCCCACGCCCACGCCCACGCCCCACACGCCGCGCAACACGGACACGCAACACGCGAACACCTACACCACAGTACAAAATATAAGTAGGTGAACTCGGGATCCAAGCGTTTAATAAATTAAACTACAAATTGATATATGGTAAACGAAATCTTGAGCAGAAATAATTCATAAACACTTTCGATGGGCAAATAGCTACACAAAATTATAATTACTTACGATATTATAATAAATCACCCGAATACCTAAAAAATGAAATACCATATACTTGATTTATAAAAATGTGAAATACCATATACTCGATTTGTAAATGCATATACAATATTTTGGTTTAGTTGTGAAAGTCATCTTATTTACGTCCAGAAATTTTATAACAAGCGGCAATACAACGACGCGGAATATACGCAAGAACAACGTACTAGCCACGACAGGCGAGATGCCACTCTTGCCTTGAACTCCTATAACTTCGATAATTTTGTAAGTGTGTACACAAACCATTTTCGGTGCGTATGTACAAAGAGCACTTACTCTTTATACTCTGTCTACACACACAACGCACACTCATGCACGCTATATTGTTGGCGCGCGTGAGGCGCACTCCAGTTTACACTCCTATCACCGGTTTACACGCAACTAAGTAGCGAGTAGATTTTTAATTTAAAAGTAACTAAATTATATTGTGTTTATAATTCGTAATAGGCTTTGTTGTATATCTTAAATGTGTATTAATTTGTATTATCCTTATTTTACTGTTTACCAAATAAATCATGTTTTTTTTTATTCAATCCATCTTTCATTAGCTCACCCCTAGTTATCATTCCTAATCACTACTTATCTACTTAATCACGTGTAAACCAGCGAAAACGCTCGCTACAGCGACGGCACTGCAACCGACACCTTGAACCAGCATTTATATAGCTAGCTTTAGACGCTCATGACAATCTTTATCATTTGCAACAGTTATGAATTACGTTTGCATGATAGAATATTTTAAACACATGTTTTAAACATAACGAGATTTTGTTGTCAAGTGTAATCTTAGATTCGAATTTTCATATAAAATGAGAAGAAACTTTTTACCCAACCTATTAAGTTCAGCCATCTTACATGTTCACAGTTTCATTAAAATTATAAAAAAATTATACGGGATAATATTCGGAAAAATTGATCCGATCACGAAAATTCTTTCGCCTATGGGAAATTATATAGTCGCAGGCTAACATCTAATGAATAATATAATTACCTCATTATCGGTGGTCTCTAGACACTGCCTGAAGTGATTGATGCATGGGTAGTGAAGCGGCGGGGCGGGGTTGGATCTACTCAACAACACGGCCATCGCTCGCGCGCCCACCACCGGGTCGATGCGTTGATCGGGCTCGTCTGCAGGTAACACTACTTATCATACACAGGGCCGTATGTTCACACGATTACACTAATTGTCGCATTAATAATAATAATAATAATTTATGGGTGTTATAAAAAACTTTACACAAACAAATATTAAAGTCTCTCTTTCGCATGTTTAACCGATGCACTGAATTCCTTTTACGTTTTGATACAATTAATTTAAAGATAAATAATTGTAGGTACACTGGTAACAATTATAGTATAGTGGTAGGCAGAACGGTGAAATAGTATATAAACGATTTCTCGCGCAGCAATAATTCATTTTTTAAAGTGATTCTGAAATATTTTTAAGTTTGTGCTAAATAACCCCGAAATCGGGGTTCTTCCACCGGAGCCCGCCTAACCTACGCTACTCTGCGTTCTACCTGTGGAGTCTTCGTAGATCACCAGTGCTGCTGACCGGAACTGACGTCGGGTCTACACCCTTGCCAGCCTCTGCCCGGCCCGTGACACTCTAACACCGCGAACTCAACATTAACAGTGTTATTACAAAAAAGATAAACACGCGTTGAACACGTGTTTAAAAAAAAATCTATTACAAAATCGTATTTAGGCACTGTTTAAGGCTAAACATCCCTTAAACATTGTTTAAAATATAAACACTCGTTGAGAGTTGTTTAACGCGTGTCTAACCTCAAAATAGGTTGCGCTTTGTTGAAAATTCATCCATATTCTTAAGATAAAGATTATATTGATATGGTCGATTTAGATTACATGGAAAGCTTTTAGGACGCGTAAGTAAACCGAACGCGAATTAATCCATTTGAGCAATACAATGAACTTTGATATAAAAGAAAGTACATATTTAGTGGATTGTTTGCTGACAAAATATATGAAATTATTTAAGACGATATTCCACATAATCCTCGAGATGAAAGTATAGATCTGCAAATAAATACACGTAGCATGTGCATGTGTGCATAGCTTCTGTGTCTGTTCACAGCTTGTGAACATGTGCGGCGTTGGGTTCGGCATCAGGTAGTCGTTGTTCCGTTTCTTCATATTATTTCGCTATAGTTTTACTTAACCTTACTCTAATATGAATTATGAATAGAAGTGCCAGTTTAAAAACGTTAATTTTGTACTTTCTTTTTTACTTTTGAAAGTTATTAGCTAATACGTTATTGAACATATCTTTTTACGATTAGAATTTATCATAAGTCTGTATACGATGTGCATATAATGGAACGTGTATGAACGAATGAAAGCCGACTGAACGAATGCTTTACGGGTTGCATGTTTAAATCAGCGTTAATTAGACTACGACTAAAAATGGATTTGTAATAGACAAAGTTAAACATCATTTTAAACAGGGTTTATATTCTTAGACATTGTTTACTTAAACACATGGTAAAACCCTGTCTAACATCTCTTTTGTAATAACACTTAAGTTCTCTTAATTCAAGATACAAGAACCATAGCGAGAGAACCTGTACCTACTCCTTGAGAAATTAAATAAATATTGTCAAAACATTATTTATTTAGTTCTTTTTACCTGAAGCCTGGGGGTGCTACTCACCCCCCATCTACAAAACCAACGCTTCACCTGTGATCGCTGATTTTTGGTAAAAACTCTTTAGACAGAATTTGCGATGGTTTCACTGTTCTATAGGGAATATAACGAAAAAGTACGCACTTAAAAAAATCCTATCTTATCCTATAAATTAAATAAAAAATCCTAATATGCTCACTATCACTTCACTCTTTGTCCACTACTTTATGTATGACATTTGACGTCTGTAAAAACTGTTTACTACATGTCCTAGTACCGCAATCTGGCGATAGTAAGAAAAATTATCTTCTTTCCAACATGCACGACAAACTCGAGAAACACTTTGTCTACACCAAATATTACTTTTGGGTGAGATATCCGAGAAAAGTGACATTTGGGTGCGTAGTAATAAAGCGAGAAAACGATAAGAAAAAAAATTAATAGTATTAATTAAGCTAAATTGAGATACCACTTACCGCTTTTAACAGCATCTATTAGTTCAGACAAAGTAGCTTGCAACAAGGCCGTATGTTGTGTTCGGGTATCTTCCGTGAGTCTAGCCGCGCGACATTCACTAGCTTGTTGTAAGAGGAGGACACCTGCATCTGACACTACACCGTCGCCTTTACACTCTTTGAGAATCGCTGTACCGAGGTACAGAATCGTCGGTAGCACTGATAGAGCTCCTGTGGACAATGTTAATATTATAAGCTAATTTCGACTCTAAATTTTGCACGCTTTAGCTGCGAACTGGCAACTTTTGGATCTTAATTCTGATAATTTCAGAGTAATAATGGCATTCCATAACAACTCTTTATAACACAGTTCTTGTTACTAAATACAAAATAATACAAAACCTGTTTGTTACAATTGTTTTATAAAAATGAGACATTGCACTAATAATATTGGACCTCAATATAGTACAATGGCAAACTTCATTTAATTGAGACGCCATTCGCTTTTATCAGAATTAATATATAATCTTAAAGTTATAACGGCATAAAGATTCGGTCCTAAGGGGGTTAAATAGAGGTTTGAAAATCATGTAATCAACTAGATAATTAGTTAAATATAAAACAAACCTTGTGGACTACACAATGTAGGCAACTCCGCCATGGCAGCCAAACTTTTCACCAGCAACGTATCTCCATGAACTCCAAGTCCTCTGGGAACTCCTATGACTCCCACATTGCCCCCCTGTTTCATAGGACTGATAGCTGGCAACCTTCTGACTAGTAGACACACGCACAGTTCTAAAGCTGCGAATACAAGGGATTTCCCCGGAGGTAGGTCACCAGTTGGACCACCTTCTCCTAAAGTGTGGACTACTTCGAGTACTGATTGGGGTATAGCGCCTTCTGACGCTTCATTTGGGGCCAATTCTGCAAAGCAAAAATGATATGACAGTACAGTAAAGCAGAATCTTTATAACTTTTAACACTCCCGTTGGAAAAACTAAGTAAAATCTTCGCCCTCTATAACCGGTATCTCTTCGAGTTAGAAATTGTGTGGCTAAAGAAAAAGAATCTTACTTATTGAAAAACTACAGAACCAATATAACCATTGACTACCAAATTATTATATTAGCACTGCCTGACACAAGCTGTATTTCTTCTGAATACAGGGTACCTTTGCCGGTTTGAGCTAGCTAGAAAAAAGTGTTCTCAGCATAAACCCTGGATAAGTTTTCTATTTCTCCTTAAAACCTTATGGGAACTAATACTTTACCTTTGATCTTAGCCTCCATGTTGCTATGCAATTGCTCCCTAGCGCCATCTATTATCAATTTGAGAACATCGGCGGCAAGTAAAAGAGCCTCTACACTTTCTTGGGTGAGTCCTGCGCGATGTATTATTTGGCACAATTCTATTGCTAACGCCCTGAAAATAATTTATGACTAAATATTTAAGTCCGTATGCCTAAGCTTAGTAAATTTCGAGCAGCCCAAGAATCCTAATCCAAGATGGCGGACCAAATTGAAAGAAAATGGTTCGGTATAAAGTTTATTTTAATATGCGTACTAAATGGAAGAGAATAGCCAGTATTGATTTATGATGTTCGACCTTTTTAATTGGGATTTTGATATCGAAACTGTTAAGCAGAAACTATTTTATTACCTATCCTTTAGTAAGCGCGCTCTATTTTCAGGGGCATCCAATAATGTCACTAACGACAATAGCACAGAAATTGTATTTTCAATGCTCATATCTCTTTGTGCACATAATGCCTCCATGCATATACCTGCAAAAAAAAGTTTATTAAAAATATTATAAGTATGAAAACTCAGATCAGAATAGAACCCACCCGAAGAAGGCGAAAAAGTAATTTAAGAACATTTGTATAGAAGTCACCGAATACATGTAATCGGCAGTTCGTCAGAGTTGCCTATTGTAAGTAACAACAATAAATTATAAAATATGATGGAAATGGTAACTCATATGTAAACAATACTCTGCTTAAAGTAAATTGTAAGTATATTTTAGTTCTACAAAATAAAGTTGCGATTAAAATCTGTGGATTACAAGAATCAATATGTGAGCAGTCATGACGGTCCATCGTGTGACGTCATATTTCAATAAACTGAACGTCGAGTCAACCTGTTTGTTTGCTTAAATTCTTAGATCAAAAGAATAATGTCACAAACAAAACGACGACTAATAAAAATTAATAAAACATCGCAAACAGTACTCATGTATTAAAATATCACATGACTGATTGATTTCGCGGACAGTTTAAAACATATACTTCCTTTATTTAAATTTCATTTTTGGAGTTATATACAACTGATAGTAGTTTGATATGATCATATTAAAGTTATAAAATACTTTTCCCAAAAAGAACGTTTTGAAGGAGTTTTCAATCATGAATATTTCAAAACTCGCGTATTAAAAAACAAAGCCTTTTTACATCAGATGTGAATTTAAAGGTCGGTAACGTAAAGTCCTTTTACCTACCAAAAAGTAAATGGAATCTCTCATCGACAGGTTCAAAGAATTCGAAATTGCCATTCTCAGTTTTCACTGGTTTGTTATCGACGTCGTCCTCTGTTTTTTCTGTGAAACAAAAATAATCAATTCGCATCAACCGTTTCGTTATCGTACGTATTTGATTGATGATTGATGAGACTGCTATGGTGTCTCGTACATGACAAACATATATTTACTAAAGTTCTAGTGCTATAATATGTAACAAGATTATAGCACAAAAGTAAGTCAAGAACTTTTATGAAATAAAATTATGATTTATGCACTACATGGTTTTGAAAGGTGGATAACGGTACAAAGGGATTTATGGAAAGATTGTTACAATGAAGAGGTACTGCTTATTTTTCTTCTTAGCCGTTCTTAACCATACTAGTATAGACCACATCCAGATTCAAAAGTATTTTAAATTTGAATAAAGATATTTTAACCCTGATTTATTTACACATAGCTGTAGTTAATTTAAAACGCTACCATCAAAACATTAAGGTTAAAATCAAGTGGAACAGGATAGGTTAGGTACGGGTTTTCCAATTTTCCACACTATATGGCTGCGTAAATTGGACGCGAAACAAGTGTAGTAATTTGTATAAGCAGTCGTGATGTTGTGCAAAGTGTGCACGTGTGTGCCTTTATTGGTAATTTGTACGCGGAATAAGTGTAGTAATTTGAATAAGCAGTCGTGGCGTTGGGCGAAGTGCGCGTGTAGACGCCTCTATTGGTAATTTGTACGCGGAACAAGTGTAGTAGTTTGTACAAGCAGTCGTGGCGTTAGTGTACCTTGTGCGGTACAAGCAGTCGTGGCGTTAGTGTACCTTGAGCGGTACAAGCAGTGGTGGCGTTAGTGTACCTTGTGCGGTACAAGCAGTGGCGGCGTGAGTGTACCTTGTGCGGTACAAGCAGTGGCGGCGTGAGTGTACCTTGTGCGGTACAAGCAGTGGCGGCGTGAGTGTACCTTGTGCGGTGCGCGCGGGCGTGTGCGTGCGCGCGTTGTACCGCAGCGCGGCGGCCAGCAGCAGCGCGGGCCAGGCGCGGGCGTAGTGCGCGCGCGACGCCTCCGCCGTCTCCGCGCTGTAGAACGCCCCGCCCCCGTGGGGTAACTGCGACGCGAACTCTGAACGGTATCGAACTTAACATTAGGGGTGCATTAGTCGATAGTACACCGATACATTTTGAACTTCGCGCGGTTCTGATAACACATGTGGCAACGTATACGTTAGCACATTTCGCTAGTTGCTTATTGCTTTTGGTTTTGAGTTTTTAAGTGAATTACATTAGACTTAAGTTTCATCAGGCCTACAAAAAATAATCTCAGGCTATACGAGAGAGCTTTGTTACCGTGATTTTTCTCATATGATTTCAATATCAGCGATATTTTATCGATCTAATAACCGATGACAATACGCTATCAAACTTTCAACGAAAGTTTCTTTACAAAGCTTTAAAACTAGAGGATTTTTTAAAATACAATGTACATAGTCGTGATTTAAGATGCACGAATCTTTGTTTACGTAACGATGCTTAAATATATTTGTATATCAAATTGAAATAGTCTCCGCTAAATCGAGTTCAACCAACAGGTATATAGATCCTACTATTCATCTGCTAATTAAACTGAAGTCTTTCTGTAAAAACCTTTAAAAAACATAAAGATATTCAAGATTCTTCTATCAAAGTGCAGGTGACCAATAAACATAAATAAACAAATAAATATGGAGACGACAGAACAAACCTGGCGGTAAACTCAGCAGAGCGTGATCCTTCAAGGCGGCCAACCAATTCTCCCCTAAGCTCTCCAGCTCAGGTTCCACCAACTTCAATAAAGATTCACCCTTCGACTCGAATTCGCCGTACTCCTCGTCTGTCGGCTCATGTTCCGAATTGTCTAACTGATTGTTGTTCTGTAGGAGGGTGTTCCGCCATTTTGCTAACTCTGCTTTAACGTTGAAAGGTTTCGTATCCAACTGTTTCACGTAGCTGCCAGGCGCACTGCCATTACTGACCATAGCCACTATATATACCTATCATCACAAAAGAATCATCATTATCTCATTAGCGTAATCATATTTACCCTCCCCACTGTTATAAGCCATATCCATAAAAAGAAACAAAGGTAACCCTGCCATAGCCTCCAATTAAGTCCCAGTGCGGAATGGTTGGTGTTAACGACTGCAGATGCCGCTGAAACTAACGGCTTAACATGCTTCTGACTGACTGACTTACAAATTTGAAAATAAATGCAATAAAGCTCAATATAAAATTAAAGATTATTATTAAACAGCACATGTATACCCACCTCTGCCCAAGCTTTCAAAATAGACAACTTCTCGAGTGTCGCCATACTTTCATTGTATACCAATGTGGTGTTCCCTTTAGTATTCAACTTGTCTAAACTCGAGACTAAAAGTTGATGAACTCTGCAACAAAATAAACTTTGTTATCAATTCAATCTCAGAAGCACAATTTATATAATTGATTTAACACATTTATTTGTTCCTGGCGACGCCGGATGCTATCCACGCAGAGCGCACGTGGTACGCGTGTGACGTCACGCGCGGCTGTATACACCTACAGTAATACCTGCGCAGATCGTTCATGTCCCTGGCGACGCCGCACCCTATCCACGCGGAGCACACATCGCACGCGGCCGCTGTCACGTGTGACGCCGTCTCACCCGCGAATGCCGCGCGAACCGCCGCGCCTACCTGTATACACACACGTAAGGCGACGCCCATTAATTACGAGATCAAAGTAACAACAAGCCCCCTGTTGGATGACTATTATGCAAAAATTGAAAAGAAATTCAATCAAAACAAAATAAGACATGATCAACCCCCTCTCCCCTTTAATGTCTTTTAATTGATAGATGGCGCCTTATTTTTTTAAGCTACCTGTTTATAATCAGAACATTGCGTGCACATCGACGTGCGAACATCCCGCAAGCGTACAAGTGCCGCAATGGCTTTGTAATGTTAAAAAACAAATAGAGCTGTTGTATACGATCTATCTTTGAGTTTTTCTTGCGATAAACAGAATATATTTCCATCGCAGCCGCAATGTTAAAACGATAACCATTGTGAGAGAGTTAAGGCAAGCATAGATTATAAAAATAAAAATTTCAAGTAATCGCCTAAAATAAGAAAAAAACAGACTTATACGTCTCAATCATACTAACCTGAGCTTGGTATTGCTCTAATAGTAAATGGCCAGGGAAATCCGGCTCAGGTGCGCGAGCGTACGCCCTTATGATGTGTTGCAACGTGCGTAGACCAGTGAGACGTAACGCGTCAGATTCACCGGTGGCGCCAACAAACGACATCCGTACCAGTTCCGATAAGTGCACAGATAAATATTCACCTAAAAATAAGTATAAGTTAACCTAAAATAAACTTTTCATACACACACACACGACCTCCATAGCCAGGTGAGTCGCCGTGAGCGGCTTTTGTTCCCGGGTTGTGAAAATTGAACTTTTTTGGTCTAATTACAAGTAACTTCGTTGTTTCAGGTTACCACAATAAGAATGCTTTAATTACTTAGAATTTGAGCAATATATGTGATGTAGTCTAATATTTATTATACGGAAGCCTCATTTATAGCCTGATGATAAATCTAAATTGAAATGCAGCATAGAGGAACATTAATTAAATTATATCTAGCCTAGTAAAAAAAACAACCATACATAATATCAAAATACACACACACATACCATTAGGATCTATCTGTAGTTTTTCTTTGGCTTTGACGAGATCGAAGTGGGCGATTTCTCCTGTTGCTTCACAGGCACTCATCAACTTTTGTATGCATTCCATTGCAAACACCTGTGAAGCAAAACCATCTTGATCATCATATTGTTATAACTTAGGGTTCGGAATAAAAATTAACGCCAAATAAGTTTCACAATCCGACTTTATTTAGTACTATAAAATTAAAAAAATAATCCCATTACAAAATTCACACTTCAACTTCATTATTTCACGTCACTAATGAAACTTCACAACACTATTAGATCGTTCACCGCTCTAGTTATCGCTCCGAGTTTCGCTTCCGATCGCTCTTGCTTTCAGATCGCTTGTTCACTGATGAATGCCAGAACGGGTGGTAAATACCACATTTAGAATGTTCTTGACTAGGACTTAGAACATTTTAGGTTGGCCTCGGGGCCCTACCGGTGTATTCAAGACAATGCCAGAAAGTTCTAGAACAACTACCCGTCCCTTCTTCCCCAGAGACTGTCCCTTTCTCGCAGACCTGATGTACACCTATATGACACAGGTAATACGTAGATGAACCACGCCGCTGCGCTCCATAACAATATTATATGTGACCAACATCTAATGTAAAATTTAGCTTTATTTGGATGTGTTACTATCAAAACTTGTTTAGCTTTAAAAAAATTTCAAAAATTTTTTTTGGTGGTTCAGTATCAGTAATAGAACACTTTTCCATAATTAGTTAAAAAAATTTTTTTAAATATTTTTATCCCTATCGAAACGGTAGAATATGGACACATTTTTTAAAATAAAACTTCAATGAAAACGTCTTTTCTTGCGTATGCCACCGTGCAACCCCGCCGCGCCCGGTAGCCCCCCGCCACAGCCCCCACCGCCCCGCCGGGACCGAGCGACGCGCGCGACAGTGAGACTCATACGCACGCGCCGATGTGACGTGTCCTCGCGTTCCCGCGCACGCGACGCGCCCGCCGTCGTGAGTTTTACGAGATGTACGAGTTTATCTTTTGAGTGGTGAGAACCTACATAAGCGCAATTCGGAGAAAGTATGCGACGAAGAGCATACCTCGTATGCGGGCCTTTGGGATCCATAACCCCGCGGTCCCTAATGCTTCGAACCATTTTAACAGACGAAGTCCCAGAGTCAGTACCCACGATGCGGCATATCTCTTTGGTGTGAGCCAGCCTGCGGTATTGAAGCTGCTAAAAACAGCCGGACTCCATCCGTACCACTTTCAGCCGGTTCAGCAGTTCCATGACCTAGACCCAATACCACGTCGAGCCTTATGTGAGTGGCTTCTACATCACCGCGATGTAAACATCTTGTAGACGGATGAGGCATTGTTCACAAGTGAGGGACTGTTTCTTATGGGAAGAAGTCAAACGCCGAGATGTAGAGGAGGCACAAAGTCTAGAAGACAACAATAAAAAATGATAACGCTTTCAGTGAAGTGAAAAGTGACACTAGTGTTTTAAACAAATTAAATGACAATTTAATGAAATGTGCACGTTTATGTCTGGACAGACGTGGACTTCATTTTGAACAAATATTAAAATACATGGTAAGTAATTAGTTAGGTATTTGTTTTGATTCAACATTATTGTAAATACGTAGTTGATTCTAATTTTTTTAAATACGCCTTAACGCAGAAGTACCTATGTAACTTCGGCATAACGTTAATATTTTTTTCTAGGTAACGAATTTGTTTCTCTTTTATTTTTTTGCATTTTGATGGCCTTAACCATAAAAGTATGAAGGGAAAATTGAAATTACTCTTAGAAAACACCTCAGATCATGGCATAAAATCTAGTTCGAATCTAACAAAATGAGCGTTCAGTGACCCGTGTAGATAGGTACCTACGAGTACATGCCTACGGCGGCGTCGAGCGAGCGCTCAGCTGACGCACGGCGCGCGGTGTCCATAAATGAAGTTTTAAAATCTCGATCTTTGATAAGCAATAACTTTATTTTTTAGTATTAGAACATATCAAAATAAAAAATACGTGTTTATTTAAATTACTTAAAGTTTATTTTCACAAAATCTTCGCAGTGGTTTTAAATTATTCCTTTTTTTTTAATGACAACAGTAATGATAATGAGTTTCTATTAGTTCAGTAGTGTTTTTTTTTTTTTTTTTGCATTGAAAATAACGTCATTAGACTTAACACAATCCGTATATCATTTATGGAGGAAATGGTTTTACTTTTTAATTATCATTAACTATTTATCTTAAAACCTAATACCTAACGTCATAGAGGCATCTCTATGATCCCTCGTCAGTTTCTTGCTCAGAAACACTAATAAATTACACTCTATGTATTAATAAAAACTACATAAGTATTATAGTCACCCTGGTCGGCCATCTGGACTGAACCGCTGGATGTGTAGATTGTTCAGACTCCGCATGAAACTCCGCTTGGTCGTCATCACCTTCCGCGTCGAAGTCCGTCTCCGGATTGTTGTTGTCTTCTGCGATTAATAACTTTTGCGTTAAAGAAACTTTATAATTATTGACTTATCAGCAGAGGTCGGTCGAGCTATTTATGTACTTGCATCGAAATGTTGATATTAATGTGGACCTTCCCGGGATTTCTTTATTTCTTTCTTTCATTGATGTAAGTTTGGCAACGTCGTGCGTGCAGTAGTTTAAATTGTGTAAAAGTAAATAACTTTTTATTTAAAAAATCACGGGATATTTTCTACTTTTTAAAATTAATCTCGGTATTTGAGGCATATCCACTTTATTCTTTCGCTGTATGAAATCAGTGTAAGTACATGAATAACTCTACCTAATTCCGACCACTGCTTATCAGTTTAAATATACGAATATTCTTATATACAGTAATTTACGCAATTGACTACAAAGAAAAAATACCTTATTTTCTTGTAATATCAGATAAAAGAAAACTACTTGAAATTGAAACTTGTTTCAAAATACTTTTTCCAAAATAGTCAAGAAATCAATTATGGTAATAATACGTTAAAAAAAGGAGGAACTAGATGACGCAGTGGCTAGAGCAGTCGGTTCGGATACTTTTGTTAAGCAATTTTAGCAATGACCGGTCACACGATGAGTGAAATTTATTTATTATATCTAACTCCTCCGTGCTTTGGAAGGCACGTTAGTCCCGGCTGCATCTGTGTTTTTTATTTATTAATTGTAGTCGTTAATACCCACCAATCAGCACATTGCCCGCGTGGAGGCATAGTGGCCTATTCTTCCTATTCGATTCGATTCCTTTTCATGCATAGGAACGCCCTAAGACCCCGCAGTCGGAACATTAATAATCTGGTGATGATGAGGATGATGATATTAAAAAATACTGAATTTAAGTAAAAAGACAACAAATAAAAATCAGAACTTCAGATTTTCTACTCTATAGGCAGCGGCGGAGGCGGGGCGGCGGAGGCGGGGCGGCGGTGGCGGCGGCGGTGGCACGCGAGGGTGTCGCATCACTCACCGAGCCTGACGCACAGCACGCGCTTGCACAGCGCCAGCCAGTCGCGCACGGCGGGCGAGGCGGCGGCGGCGGCGGCCAGCAGGCAGCACGTGAGGGTGTCGCGCGCGTACGACACCGCGCACGCGTCCCGCTCCACGTCCAGGTACGAGAACAGCGCGCCCGGCAGACCGGTCTCCGTTATCACCACACCTACCATACCGACCGTACGGAACATACCATCAGCCACAAACAATATCCACGCTCAAGTTTCAAACAAAAAACATGTTTAATATTTAAAACATCAAAAACAGTGTTTATAAATCACATAATCGAAATCATTATAAGATGTCTCCCGAATTCAAATAGTAACTATTTTCGTGTAAATATTATTATTATTAATAATGATTCATGAAATTTATTACGGTTGCTGTTCTAGGTTTATTCGTAAACACATTATTACATATAAACAAAAAGACCGCGACAAACGACAATCGTTTGATTATTAAACATTTTTAAATCGTCAAAAGAAATCAATAATAAAACCTTCAGAGCAAGAGAGAAAGTGGGGAGATGCAAGTTATCATACCGCAGTAAGGCCTCGCGGGAATGTGATCCTTGGCAAGCATCGCGTATTTGCACACCTCGAGGGCCTCCTTCTGCGATAACTGACGTAGACAACATAGCGCTGCCCGGCGTACAGCTAATTCAGGACTGGAGAGATCTCGCTATAAAATAGAGATATGTATTACTAGTGGACGCCCGCGACTTCGTCCGCGTGGAAGTCGGTATCCCGTGGGAGTGAGAAGTTTTCCCAGTAAAAAGTACCCTATGTGTTATTCTGATGTATAACCTATATTGCTGTAAAGTTTTATCCAAATCCGTCCAGTAGTTTTTTCGTGAAAGAGTAACAAACATCCATACATCCATACTTACAAACTTTCGCCTTTATAATATTAATAGGATTAATAAAAATCATAAAGATCTCTCCAATATAAAGTAGTAAGTGGACAGTTTTATATGTTTAACAATCAACTGTTATCAATTTCCTTCGTGTTGGCCGCTTCTACACTTCCCCCTTCCCCGCCAAACACATCCGGGCAGACTCTATGAGTACCGTTAGCAGCATCATCGCATACGGCTGTCCGTGCCAGTCGCTTCTGTTTTCTTCATGGATTTTTGATATTGTATTGTTTTATAATGTTTTTGTTAATGTAAATAACATAACTCATTTTTAACTGATGCAAAGTTAAGCCTAGTTAAAATAAAACGATCATTTCTTTGTCTGACTATACAGTCGATGTGCCTATGATGTCCTTAAGTAACGGCCGTCGATGGCAAACTCGAAACAAACGGCCAACAGCACGACTTTTATCAGTCGTAAGACGCCCATTGCTGAGCATAGACCAGTACATGTAAACAATCCATTACGTCTGCATATTATATATACTCACACACAGATGGGGCACGATGGTGTGCAGGCTGATGTGGTCGGGCGCGAACATCTGCAGCTGCTGCAGCCCCCCCGCGGCCTCGGCCCGCGCGCCGCCCCCGCCCCCGCACCCGCCCTCGCTCAGCGCCGCGCACGCGCATACAAACCTACTCACCGCGCACACTGGAAAGTAACAGTATATTTTAGTATGAAACCTGACTATTCTATTATATGTTCTCCGGTAATAAGCTAGTTTACAATTAATTTTCCTTAATGTCTGTGAAATGATATAAATAAGCTATGAACAGTGCCATCTAGGAATTTTATAAATAATATGTATATCTTTAGACTAATCTGGCAGCTTTGTCGCCACAATGACATAACACAATGGCGGGACGTGTTTCAAATCACGTGACACACAGACAAAAAATTACGACTTTTAATTTTAAGGTAATAAAATAATCGTGCTATTTTTAGACTCAAAATCAGAATCCCTATGTTTATTACGCCGTAAATTTTAGTTTTTGTGCAATTTCATGAATTATTTTTCACTACCGAAACTATTAGATATAATGACATTGTCATCAGAACTAAAGGTATACTCCATAGCTCAAACGGAGACCGGGAACTGGGTAAAATATAGCTCAAAAGATTTGATTACAGAAAGACAAACATCGGAAACTATATAAAAACTTGTACTAAAAACGTAAACATACCCTGTAATTCAGGTCCGACGACAGTGATCAATGCGGACAGGAGTCGTCCTATACTTCTGTGCAAGTCTTCCAAATAAGGGGGCGTTGTGAACAACAGTTTGAGCGCCAGGTTCAACGTGGACTCCACGTGTGAACGGAACATCGGACCGGACGCGTCCGCCAGCACAGATAACGCGTGCACTGACCACACCTGGGAAGGATGAATATACCCATCTATGTCTATAGAAGTGATATAAAAAATCTTAAACCAAAAAACCCAGCCAAGTGCGAGTCGGACTGGCGCACCGAGGATTGCGTACAAACCTGTAGATATATTCTGATGTAACTAAAAATGTAAGGTTTTCGAAATTTTTCCTTTATATGTGCTATAAATATAAAACATTACTTCATGCTAAGATTCTAGGTAGACTGGTACATGTTTAGATTTCTCTTTCTTTTGATTGCGTTGACATAGAAGTCTGATTTCCTTGAAATTTGATGTTCCTAAGAAAACGGTATTGACAGACGGACAAACGAATGACTAAGTGATTCTATAAGGGTTCCGTTTTTTCCTTTCGATCTACGGAACCCCTTAAAACATCCAAATAACGCACGAAGGGTTATGTATCAATACATATAATAATATGTTGTATGGGAGCCCCTTAAATATTTATTTTATTCTGCTTTTAGTATTTGTTTTTAAACAGCAAAAGAAATATATCCTCTGTTCTTTAAATACAGCCTAGTAAAAGACAAGACGGTCCACGAAGCACAGGGTTCCGGTTTTACCCTTTACATATAGAACTCTAAAAACTGCTATCTGTGAAACATGACTCGTAGAAGCTATATCTTTACTAGGGAGTTTGGAAGAAAAATTATATTGGCTTATGTACTCACCTGTACTTCAACGCTAGCGCTGTCCTGTGCGAGCGCTCGCAACACCGGCAGCGCTGCAGCGCTGGACGCGGTGCCCCTGGCGCGCTGCACGGCGCCCACGGCGGCGGCGGCGGCCGCTCGCGTCGATCTAGCGGGCGCTGTCCGCGCTAGAGCTAGCACTCGCTCGCTGAGCGCTTGACTCTCCGCCTCAGTGATACACCCACACAGGCGGCCCGCGCACGACGCGGCCGCGGCGCGTACTGTCGAACTCGAAGCGGACAGACCGTTCTGTCAAATCAAATACATTTGATAATAGGGATGACGACAATTTTTTGGTAGTTTATAATTTTTTGACGTATTTTTATTTCTTTCATAATTTTAGTTGAAATGTCGCGTTTCGTCACACCTTTGTACATTTTCCTCATAGTTGTGACGTATCGCGACCCCACTCCTACACTTCTTGTTAAGTTTTAAAAACATACCTATATTTAAAATAACCGAAGTACACGATACGAAAACAGTTCTTCGATTGCGTAGGTTACGTATTTTTTACATTGCCCGACGTGGAAACGCACGTCAGGTCATGTTTATGTACAACTTAAATAAATTAAAAATGAGTTACCTAAAACGTCGAGCATCACATCAGGAACACTTCCTGTCTTTACATTTGACAATGACGCCCAACAGATTATTATTCACATTTTGGTAAGTTCTAAAAATATATTAAAGAGCAACATGGGGTCCACCCAGTAAACTTGTTAAAGTAGTCTACAAGACAGTTTGGGAACCCACTAGAACACTATTATCAATATTCATAAATGAATGATTTAATACTTTATTGTACACCATAATTATAGAACATGAAAATTGATAGAGTTTAGTTTTACAATCGGCGGCCTAATCGCTAAGGAGCAATTTCTTCCTGACAACCGCAGAATCTCAATGAGAATCTCAGTGGCGTAGCTAGGTAACCTAGGGCCCTGGGGCAAATAAAAAAATGGGGCCCCACTGCTATCAAAACTAGTAAGGTTTTTTGAAGTAAAATCATTAAATATACAAATACTTACAAATGCTAAGCAACTTTATCATCAGCTTTTTTTCGTGCATGGGCAGGTAATAAAACTATTAAACACTAACAACATAAATTACAATTTTATTGTTATACTTGGCAGGTATTGGGTTATAAAACGAAATAGAAAAGATTCAACGGATTATTATATATTTATTTATTCATAGATACGTTACACCAGCTTACTGTTATTTAACCTATCGCCATGCAAGCTATTTACAAAAATGATCAATAGAAATATTTTCTCCAGAAGTACTTGCATAAGGCTGACTAAAAAACTTGTAAATTTTGGGCAATTTTTGTTTACTTTCTTCTCTTTCTTTTCGTTGTTTGCGTTTAAATGCACCACTGGGTTTCTTTTTTTTTTATCCATAATATTAGTTTTCTAATTTATTTATGCAATATTTATGTAAGATTGTACTCAAGTAGGTACTCATTGTTCACTGACAACGTTAAAAGTAAAAAAGGAAAGCGAAACGTAATGATACAATACAAGACGTCGTTGGGGAATCCCCTGCAACCATTTTATCGCCGCCAGTGTTACCACATTTGACGGTTTACAAAATGACAAAAATATCACGTAATTAATGGACGGCCCCCTACTGCATGTGACTTGTATTTTTCACGGTATTTTGAGTTATATAGTGATTAGCCGAAATCTATAGATTTCTTTACGTAACTATGTATACGTACTATAATCAAATAAAATTGAACATTTGTATGGACCAGTACAATGGACCAGGACTTTTTAACCATTCTCGAAGAAAAATCTTGACTCGAAGTTCACAATCGCGAATCACAAAAACGCATATCGATAAATAATAATGTGCAGATATTGATATCCGACAAATTGATGAAAACATTAATAACACTGTCAACCCACAAATAATTTAGAGAAATTCCCTTTTTATAACTTTGGAATTTCTCACAACCGAGTTGCCATGATTAAACTCGACACAGGTGACAAGTCGAATGACAGGTTGAAAATGGGAGAAATTTTCAAAAATTGAGTTCGAATGAGATGTTCTGTAGAAGATTTGAGGGCCCCCTGAGCTTGAGGGCCCCGGGGCACTACCCCGCCTAGCCCCTTGGTAGCTACGCCTCTGGAGAATCTCTATCATACATACCACAATAAGCTCAGTGGCGACTGCCTTCACCGGTTCCTGTCCTAGTGAACACTTTTGTTCAGCGAGCGTCCGCAACGCCAACAGTAGCGCCGTGTATACGTTCACTTGTATCGCTTCCTGTCGGGGACCTTTGGACATCTTGATGCATTCAGCGAAGTGCTCCAACATTTGTTGTCTACGATTATAAATATATAAATAGTATACTTTCGTTAGTGTACAATAATTTTACGACAAATATATTTATTGTCTTAAAATAAACACAAATGTTCGAAGGGTTCAATCACCTAAAATAAAAATTAGAGAAGATAGTGAACGGTTGAGCGAAGCGACGGCTGGATCATGCGACATGCTCGTGAACTGGTGCTGCCAGTGTAATTTCGTCCATTTTCTTTTATTATGAATTTTATATATTGATTTGTTAATGATGTATGACTCGGCAACCGGCATATTAATCACTAATCGAAAATATTTGCCAATGCAACAATTAGCTATTCGGTTGACGACACTGAGCTGAGCTTAGGTATATTATGAATGTTTACATATAAATATTGTTCATACATATACAGAATGTATAGAATGTACAGAATGTATATGTGTGTACAATATGAACCAAACAAAAAATACACATTGAAATTTATTTTTGTGCACGATTTTCACTTTAGAAATAGACATTATAAAAATAATATATTGAAAATGAGGAAAATACCTTAAAAAATCAAAAATAAACAAAAAATTACCTGTGCTTGTTCGCTGCTCTAGCGAATACTATAGGGAACAGAGCAACCGCCGCGTCTATAACCGCCACACCGAGCGGTTGGGCCGCTGTACCTGTACAATATACAAATATCACAACTATAATGAAACGAGTCAAGAAGAAATAAAAATCAATTGAATTAATTGAATCCTAAAATGAACTAGGATTCCCATGAACTCATTCTAAGCTATATACTAAATAGAATCGAATCAAACTATCCAACAAATAGAGACTGGACTGTTATTCCTTATATTATAATACTGATTTATTTTGTTCAGTTCAAATAAACTAATATATGAAAGGACAAAAAAGATATTTCGGTAGTTTATTGAGAAAATATTTTATATTATAACATTCTAGCCAGTCAATGATATACAAAAACATGCCATTTTTAGAGTTGTGATTTTATAGCCTATTTTATCCGCATGTGATTAAGCTTCCTGCAGGTAAAAATGTTTTTTTTTTATTTCGGTGCTGTAGTTTCGGACCCTATTCGATGCAAACAATTAAATTTTTCCTTTTTATAATATAAGTATCTCCTCTCAATTTGTTCTTTAAATGTCCAATATTTGTCCTTTAGTTAAATCTTTCTGTCATTATCTATAAAGTAAAACAACGAAATAGCGTAAATGTTATGCACGCCGTTCATTTGATGCATATCAGAATATTTTTCTTTTAATTTATATCCTTTACCTGAATTGTTTTTATATGTATCATACGGCTGTACTGCGCAGATAAATAAATTTAAAAAAAATCATAAACTATGCCAAATGCAATCATTGATATATAATTACCGGAAGCGGCCGGTGCCGCGGGCGTGGCCGGCACCGCCGCACGGTATACGCAGCACGGGTCGTGTTCCAACGCACCAGAGCCGCGAGCGCTTAGCGGCGATATCAGCTGCGAGTTCAAAACAAACTGGTTGCACAATCAATATAGCAAGTAATGTCAATATTATAGAGGCTCTGTTAAGTTTGAAAATCTTAACAGTGTTATTAATAAACAAGGTTTAGCGTTGGAGTAAATTAAAGCTGAGTCTGCACCTTAATATTAGTCAAAATTCATATTGTTAAACAGAGATTTAGAAAAGGTTAATCTAGTACGAGGTTCTACGGGAGTGATATTAACTCCTAGAATGTTGTTGGTTTGCTTATTCTCCATATAATATGAATTTGGACAAATACTAAAATTGCAATTTTACCGTAAAAGTATATTAACTGATGAAATGTTAAGCCAAATAAAAACACAATTTTTTTTTTCTTTGCGACGACATCCACTTTACAAACAGTAGACGGTCAGCTCGAAGTTAACGGCTGAGACCTTTATTTCCATCTCTTACTTAACAAAAGTATAATAAAATTTACCTGTTCTTCAATTTCAGCATGATCCGTGTCATAGATCCAGCACTCTTCCCCTAATAATATAGTGTCACGTGGATGCATCGACGACATCAGTAAACCTGCAAAAAACATTTCGAGTTAATATTGAACCGAATCTATCCTCTATTTATTTAATAATTTGTATGAAGAGTATGAGTTATGCTGAAAGAAATAATTTTATATAATTTTCAAGGTGTCACTAGCTCTTACGTCCCAGGTTCTATTCCCGGTCGGGATAATGTAGAGAATGAACTTTTCTATATTGTCTCGGATCTGCGTGTTGTGGCACCTTCGTTGTCTCAGATACGCCATAAAACAGGGGCTTTAGCTAGTCATTTTGGAATCTGAGCAATTTATGACTTTGTTAAAAAAAAACTAATATCGTTGTATTTCATGAATTTGTATGAAGAGTATGTGTTATGTTTAAAGATTTTGTATAAATTTTCTGTCAAACATTACAAAATTGACTTAAGATTGCGAGGAGGGCCAGGAGCCGGTGACGATGTGCATGTAACATATCGACGCTTAAGAACCGAGACCATATATCGACAAAAAGTCGTTTTACAGGAGACGAAAAAAACGTTTCATATTTTTTTGTACAACAAGATATGTTATATCTGATCATATAATGGATAGGCATGGGAATTAAGATGTTTACATGTATTTCAAGAAATCTTCATTACTTTCAAAATTTCTGTAGATAGCCAGCTACAGTTAAAATATTTGCGTATGTTTATGCAGCTAACTAAAATATAGATGGTATTGGCAAACGGAATAATACAGATTAAAGACTTAAATCAAACAAAAACTCATAGTTTTATTAAATTTTAAAACGAGTAGTTACGAGTTCCCTGTAGATAGGTGGTATTTCCATATAATTATTACGACACGTAACTTAGGTAGTGAAGGTATTTTCTCATAACTCCTTATTTATTGCGGATTTGAGGTAATCGGTTAAAGGAAACAATGAGTAAATAGGGATGACGACTGGGTAAAAAAGGGTCAGTCAGATAATAGAAAAATATTAGATACGTTTTTTTTTCTTTAATTTGAACAAGAAATGGCTTAGTTATTAGCCATTAAAGTGGAGGAGTGGGGGCTCGCTACATCACAGTTTTGTAGAAAATGTACCATAGCGTGAGGTCAGGCGACATTTCAATTCAATGTATCGCCGTAATTTATTGAATACGCAAAATATAACAATACGTATTTAACATTCTTCAATAATCCACTTGCCGGACAGAAAAACAAAAATGAGTCGTCATCCCTATTAACCATAATAAGAACTGCATTAAAAAGTCAAAAACCGCCAAAAGTGTAGATAGATGGTCTTGGTTCTTAAGCGTCGATATGCAAGACCTGTGGCGACGGTGGCGCCGCTGGGGTCCGCGGAGCCGGCCACCTCGGCGGCGAGCAGGCGCAGCAGGGGCGCGGCGGGGGGCGGCGGCGCGTCGGGCCCCCCGCCCAGCGCGCACGCCGCCTGGTACAGCCGCAGCCGCACCAGCGCCGCGGGGGCCTTCAGCGCGCCCCCGTAGTTGCGCACCACGCCGCCCACGCTGTATATGCACCCAACCGAATAATGCAGCGGCCATTTGTAATTTGCATGTAAACTACATTCCGATATTATCGAATAATATTAACTTTAGACAACTTCACATATGTTGATTCTAATATTAACATTAGACAACTTCACATATGTTGATTCTAAACCGTCTAGCTAAAACGTTTGTGTTTGAAAAATGAGAAGAAACCCCCCCAGCACGTAAATGTCATTACTCTTATTAGAGCTGGTGAGTTTCTTGCTTGTTCTTCTTATCAGCCAAAAGACGTCCTGAACGAGTGGTAGGGAGAAAAATGTTGGACGATTCAAAAGTACTTTTAAGAAGTCTATTTGAATAAAGATTATTTTGACTATGATTTGACACGAGACTGCAGGAAAGGTTTGTTTTACATAATACAAGTCTAAGTCAGGATCTAAATTACAAAGAAGTTCTAGCGGACTGTAATCAATAATGCCTAAAGTTGAGGTTTTGCTTTACCCATCTCTTTCTGTTCGCATATTCACTCTCTCACTCGCCCTTGTATTAGTCCAGCGACCTTTGTTTCCGGTTTTCCAAATACACACGTACACGAAAATAAATACTTATTATTATTTTTTTCTGGTAGTGTTTAATATACTACCGATACTCACACTTTTAAGCTTATTATATTTGAAATGTTGCTTAAATTAATTATGATAAAAACAAATATTTTATTCTCGTTGTGACGTGACCGTAAACAGTGCGTGACGTCACATCCCTCTTACTCATATCAGAACTTAGAAAATTCAACTTTATGCATACATGGAATGTTATTAGTTTCAGAGGGCCGTGACGCCATAACAGACATGGCGTTTTCGCGGGAAATTTTAAAAACTAAATTTATTTTTATATTTAATTCTTCTTCTTAAGAAAAATTCTTTTCATCTATAAAATAAAAATATAAAAAAGTTGCCTGCACCCTTATTCTTAAATTTCATATTATTATAGCGCAATCCGATACTATTCGGTCGTCTCTATACTTCGACATGTTTTTTATTTCATTTAACGAACTCTCTTAATATAAATGTGATAACCAAATTTGACATCATATCAATTACAGTAATTCGCAATAATATCTATACCTTTTTAATTCGATGATTTCAAGATTAGGTGCGATCGCCCAAAACACTTTCACTTCGAAAGCAAATTCGAAATACAAAACTTTTGTTTTGATCCATACTTATAACAGATATTCTATCCCTATTTCGTTTCGAAACTCACTTCACTTATGCCAAGAAACGTTAATTCCAATTCAAGGTTCAGCGGATGTCGCTTTCGAAGTATATTCGGACACCTGAGTGAATTCGAATTCGGGTCCGGATTTTTACGGAATCGCTCTGCTGTTCGATGATCTGTTAGTACTTACAATGTTGATGAACTTACTTGGTCAGAACAGCAATAGCTCCTTCTATGGGCTGTGACAATCGTTTGGCCGTATCGTCGCTATTAACTAGAGACGGACAGTGAATCAACAAGCTGTGCAACGCGGATAAAGCACCCGCTCGCCCTTCCAATGTAACCTACAAATGTTAATAATATTATACCTTACGTACTGACCATAAAGTCGAATATCGCGCTTTAGGATATGCATATATACTTAGAATATATGAACTCGTCATAAAAATGTGTAAGAGTTTTATAATTATTAATACTTTAGTATATGGAAAAGCACTAAGAGTATATATCACTCTGTACCGAGTTCAGAGATCAGTTGCTTAAACGCTGTAATTCGGCGTCACGCTGTAAAGAAGCTTTAAAAGTGTTTCGTTAACTCTTTGAATTATAAATATGATCATTCCTTCGACATAATAAAGTGCCATCCGTTACAAAACTAATGCAAATTTTTGTCACAAGCTCCCCGTCTATTATATATTACCTGCCAAGTGAACGCGTCACCACGAGCCTTCTCGGACTCCAATTCCTTGGCGGAACGCGGAAAACTGTTCCTCCATAACAACAACATTCTAGGCAGTAATCCACGCACTACTGGAACACCTGTTAATGAAGAGTTATTGAGAAAATTTATATGACAGTTTTAGCTCTATCCATTCAAAAAATTATATTACGAAACAAAGTTTTGCGCATGGGATGGATACAGATATTTATCCTTTCATAAATTTTTCTTTACATCATTGGTTTTTAATAGATCATTTGAATATTTATGCACGGAATAAGGTTACAATTTGAATGCATTAATTAGATACCAAAGTCAAAACGTGCGGTTTTTAAAATCAAGTTTATGTAAATACAATAGTAATCTACAGTTTCATGATTCCCAAAGCTCAGGAGTCAAATGTCGAACTTATTTTCAAATTTTAGATGACTTTTAGTAATATGGTAAAAAATTTCTTAAATGGTCAGTTTTTAAAATTATTTAAATGGTCTACGAGAAAAGTTTGGGGACCTATAATCTACAACTCACCTAAGGTACATATAGCTCCTACAATAAGCCATCCGGCATTGGTCCTGGCCGCTGTGAGTCTGCTACTCTGGCCAGCAGACCTGAGCAATTGCTCAGCAGCATTGAATGCAACTTTGCCCCGCCCATGAGGAATTCCCAAGGGAGATAGACGAACGGCACCCAATATTGCCGCAAGAGCCGCAGAATAACCTAAGAAATATGTATTTGATAACTCATATTAAGTTAACTGAAAGATGGTTATACTTCAACCGGGGCGCGGATTAGATAATTTTCCACTCAGGTTAAAGTTTTTGGGGTTCTTTCTAAGTGAACCTGTACGTCAAACCAACTATTAGTGTGACGAAAGTCAGGTCGATCTATTCCTGTAACATACGTATATAGATAAATATTAATAATCAGTTACCACATTGCAACAAATACTTTCTAGCTGTTTTGCTTACAAAATATTTGAATAGCAGGGCAAAACTATCTCCTATGTAATTTTCTTTATATTCAGCTAAATCTGCGAGAGCAAACCTAAGTATATTTATTCTCACATTATTAATTGCAAATAAAACAAACGATGTTTTCATATAATCAAAAAATTAAACATATTTGCCGTAATATCATTTAAAAACTATTAAGAATGATCTAAGCAATTTATTTCATCGAACCAATTAATAAATTTATCGCTTTTTTTTCAGAAAAACCTTTATCCTACCAAGAGCGGGCGTTCACGGGGCCCCCCGCCCTGGGCTGGGTCCAAAACTACTAATTAAAATTGTTATACATAATGTTTTCATATATTCAAAATTGAATTAATTTTATATAATCATAATTATTATTATTAAAATTAACTTCTTATGACCATGACCTTTGAGACACACACATTCAATTTTGATGAAATAGAAATGTGCAAATATTAATAAAACGCTATTAAAAAAAGGCAACTATAATAAAACCCTCCCGTTAAATTACTACACGTTATAATCCATGTAAATTTCTAATGCACCTAATTGAGTATGATTATTGGTGACATAATTGAGTATAGTACCGTTAACAAATAAACAATGGTTAATAAGTACAGTTATTGAATTGGGTTGTGTTGAGATCACGAACAATTTTTGTATATTTGTTGTTTTCGATTGTTATTGCTAAGTTTCGTTATTACTTGTTATGATTGACTAAAACAGCGACTGCTATTATGATTACCAAATTAAGTAAACCTGATTTCATTAAGAATAAATATATATAATCTAATGCATAATTACTATGGCGATGTTTTAAAAATCATCCTTTTTCTGAGGTTATCGCGTTATTACAAAGTAAATGTAATTCTTATATTTCAAAAAAAATTCTTATATTTTTTATTACAATATTAACATATAAATTGGCCCTTCTCCGGAAATTCTTGCAATAAAATAAAAAACCAAAAATTATAAAATAATTATAACAATATATTGGTCATTACTCATATTTTTTTCAATAATTAATAAATAAATTATTTCATGCATTTTGTGCTATCTATACTTTCTATCTTCAAATGACGTCACGCGGGTGAGGTTCCAATTTGCGGGACTTATACCTGAGATATGATGCGGTGTTGGACGTGCGTTATCTAGTGCGGTACAGCACGCGTCCAATAGAGGCGTCAACTGCGACGGTAAAGCGACGCATACGCAACGTGCGCATCTAGCTGCCGCCAGTCGCGCTGCAGCACAAGGATGCTCTAGTACCTGCATATACGATAAATCCAATTTATCATAAGCACACTGTAAACAAATACTTTTTTATTCATGACGAGATCGGTTATTTTCCGTAACTCCTCCCACGTCACCGAAATATTTAGGAAACGCATATGCGTTATGCGGTACTTTGCACTAGGAATTTGCGTAATATAACAGATCACAAATGGATAAAAGAAAAAATATATTATTTGGAATTTAAATATCCTGCTTATGCGTTCTTAAGCTTTGCCTTGTTTTAGATTAGTGAGTTAGTGAAAACCTGAACCCCTGCAGTGGAGACTTAAAAGGGCTGATGATATAACAGAGTAGATTCAACCCATGGAGGAGCCACACATACACAAAGCGTGTTACACAGTACACACAAGCATTTTTATTACTATAAGTAGAAAAAGTCAGTGGTAATACTCACTGAGAAGATAGCGTTGACCATATTGAGAGAGGTGTCGTTGACCAAGTTCTGCACAGACGTTCCCAGCTGTAAGGCCAACTCGCCGGCCTCCGTCAACGCGCAAACCAGTAAATGTTGACTGAATAAAGTTTCCTATACAAAAACAATGTAAAACATTAAAACGAGTTATCGAAGTATTTGATGAGCTCAAACATATAAGTGACTTTACGATTAATAATTTAATGTTTTCTATAGGAAACAGCTCGATAAGCGCCGCGCCTCTCGAACGTTACTGCTAAACAACTTTAACAAGGGTCAGTCACGGGATGAGTGACAAAAAATATCTCGAGCTACTCCGTGCTTCGGAAGGCTTGCTAAGACGCTGATGCTAGCTACATCTGTAGTCTTTTCTTATGCTGCTTTATTAGGACCCACAGATGACCTCCAACAGATAACGCGTGATGACTATTTTGTTAATAAAATAAAGATGCCAATCTTAGCTGTGGGGCAGGTGGCGGGTGAGGTAACTGCGGCGACACTATTGTCTAGTACAAGGATACGTATTCCGTAGTGGTGGGAACCCATATCATGTGTTAAAGGCCAGTCAATAAATTGATCGATATTAAATGTTAGTCTTAGATGTCATTAAAAACTTATTTTATTAAATTCATTTTTATTTAATTAGCAATATAGAGCACTATAAAATAATTGATGGACAAGGTATCCAACGGCAAGGCTTCAATGAGCGCGTACGCCTAAAACCAGTAACTTTCAATCAGTCGGTGAGAATAACTTTCAAAAATTGATTTTGTACTAAGAAATACCTTAAAATAAGTTGGAATTAAAAACAGGAGAACAACATAATTTTTTAAGATAATCAATTACAACCAAAACGTGGATTTATAATAACCCCGATAGAAAAAAAAAAACAGTTCTAGTATCAGTTTAGTTCGGAAATACTAGTGTTACACGTGTCTTTGCCAGAATGAAATGAATATACTAATTTAGTAACGCGTGCTATAACTTGAACTCCACGCGGTAAAAATACAAATAAAAATACTCTTACTGGTGAAAAGTTATACCATATTTCTTGCAATTGAATGTTAGAGTACAACTTGCTATGGTTAACCCAATATATTCATTATAAAGAAAAATATTCTCGTCAATGCATATATTCACAGATGCACATAAATATAAGCATTGACGAGAAGTGCACGACTTGGTCTTAACTGAGGAGTCGCATACATGTATCACTACTTTTGTTAAAACAATCTATGCAGAAACATAGATGCTTGGCTACAGTTTGCTGTCTTTCATGCAGCATCTATTGAGATGGACCCAATAATCATTTAAATGCGCCCTAAAACGAGATCCTTATTTCCATCAATATCATACCTGATTACAATCTTTCGCGTTCTCCGGATTGAAGTCGATACTATTCATCTGTTTGACTACGATTTGTATGATCTCCTTGCACGCTGACGCCTGCGCCTTCTCGCCCAACATTTTCCCGAGCGTGTTGCGCAAAATGTAGTTTATACATTTCCTAAACCAACAAACAATATGTAAATTTGTGGAATATATGTATATAGTATATAGTAGTATATAAAATCTTCGTAAATATATGCTCATAAAGAGTAACGAATTTTTCTGTATATTGGATAGCTTTTATTAGCAGCCATCCATTAGCTGGTTATTTGAATAGTTGTAGCATTAATAACAAACATGAAATTTAATTACGAAATTAATTTTGAACTATACCTGAATAGCAGAAATTTGATTATTGTGTATAACCAACAAATTAACATTTAAGCACAAGCTGCGTAGCTTTCTATTGGAACAGCCTAATTCGTTACACCGTTAGTCGTCTACATTATATTATATTATATATGTATTGTACATTATATATTATATTAGTATATGTTGTTTTGAAAGCATATATATATTGTTTATGTATTTTTTATAGGTTTTATATCTCCATATCACTAAGGCAATAAGTCCGCCAAGGTAATATGTACATGAAGTGTTAAATAAATAAATATAACCTGCTTTACTATTACTGTTGACTATATAAATACAATAAAGTCTTACAAAGGCTTATTAATACAGGCTAATGGCTAAATTAAAATATTTACCTGGAGTAAACAGCGTCGACGTGAGAGCTGGCCGCTTTTGGATTCGCCACCAAATCCAAAACGTGGGTCAGGAATGTGGTCATATTGCGCTCTAGCCACACACCACCCATGTTTTGGACGAATATCACGTACGCCTAAAAATATTAAATCTTGTAGGACCACAATGCTTATGGAACTCGATGACTCGAACACAAAGGAACACAGAAAAGAGGTTAGAATGAAACTGGGATAAGTACTTAATCTGTGATATTAGTTATAAAGTAGTTTTAAGTATGTAATAAATAAGTAAGAATGGCAAGCATCTGCTCCCATTGTATATAAAGAAATTAAATATAAAAATATGTAAAAAACGCATAAAATGTTACGGTTCCTGTTCCAGAAAAATACTTCGCGGTCAATAGAATCTCAGAGCACGAATAAGCCCCTGCTCTTTCAGGCGAAGGCGTGCAATATACGGGTTTTTATTATAAGTGCTTATAAAGCGGAAGAGAAAACTTATAATTAATAATCAATATGAAATAATTACATGTGTGACGCATACTCGGACCTCCCTGTTGACTCCTGAACCAGATTTGATGATTTCCCCCTTGAGGAAGGAAGTGCCTCCTCTCAAAAACGCACCCATCAATAAGTTCAGGGCTTCTTCGAGCGATACCACATTTTTGGGAGGATCCTTTTTTTGTTGAACTGCCAATATATATTAAAGGTATAGTATTTCATATCGTTTTTATTTTCGTTTTTATGTCCCGCATAATATGTATGAAAATGTAGAAATACGATGTTTTTTTGTTATGGTTAATATTAGTTCATAAAATAAATTAATTCAAGTATCATAAAAATACATTTACAAATTTCGCGCGAATTAGACGAATTAGCCATGTTGATCTGTAGTTGTGACGTCACTTGGTTATGTAAACAAACTCGTTTCTTACATTTTCATGCACTTTTTATCATATTCAAATAGTTGTAAGAAGATACTACTTACATCAATGTATAAATTCCGTAATAGAAATTTGTAGAACAAAAATAGAAATTTGCAGTAAAAAACTTTCCGACGATAAGTGTTTAATGTTGATAAATTTGTTACATGGTATTATTTTAATAAAAATTACTTTTTCTTTGTTTCGTCATAAAACTAATATTAAATTAATAAAAAATCTCGAACCGTATTTATCTTGCTTGAAACTTATTTTTCTTGTTTTTAATGACGTCATATCATGGCGGCTACTGATTCGCGTAATAAAAACACAGACTAAAGATATGTAAACTTTAATCTGAATATTAAAAATTAATTTCTTTATTTTATGAACTGCAACTAACATTTTCAGACTACTGTAATATATAAATGAGATACATTATAAGATTTTTTGCTCGAAATGAGTAAAATACCCCATGGAAAATTAACGCCATTGAGTTTACCTGATTGGGCTCCCACTTTCAATTTACTGTTAAGATTGGGGACTTCCGCGGCTTGTGTTGTCGCTATAAGGGCACCAAGAAGCTCAGCGATGGCACATCTGTTAAATGTTAGTCAATATATTTAACAATTTACGCTAACCCACATATGCCCCTTGATTCGAAGACGAACAGTACCCAGAACTATTTTGACAACCAATACTTATAAATGTATATTTATAAAAATAGGTTGTCAAAATAGTTCTAATTTATTTTATAAATAATAAATTTTAGAATACTATTGTGCATTTTTGTACATTATTATAATAGACGGGGGTGGGATGCATTTTCTGAGTAAACCATATAATTTAATCTGATTCGACGAAATGTTTTTTTGTGTCGTTTTCGAATCAAGGGCCGTATCAAATAGTTATAGGAAATACGGATTAAGCTGCTTCTTCACCTGGAACATTTGTCTGTAATTTAACATTTCAGTATAGATACTTTTAAATATGATTACATTTAAATTATTTTCTTTTATGTGCCACTAGATTTCCTTTTTAAATTGCTACAGGCGACCTAGAAGTCAAGTTTCAAGTAATCTGGTGCCCTAACCAGGATATTAAAATGATAATAAAATATACTGGAATCAGTGTATTATATAACAAATTAATGTAACATTTCAAAAATGTAACAAGCTGTATCATGCATTATCAAGTTACACACTGTATACTCGATACTTTTCCTTCACTAATGTAACTAATTAGTTTTGGATCAGGACTGACATCTAGCGCACTACTTACGCATTTTACTACGTGTATATTTGCTACGTGACGAAGCTCGATTATTATGGACGGTTTTGATTATCACTAGCCTATAGTATAGCCAGGACCAACACCTTAACGTACCTTCCGAAACACGGAGGTGCTCATGATAATCAATTCGAACTACTCAAGCTTTAATAACGTGAAAAATTGCCTTAGCGCATAGTCGCTGGGTTGAGCAGCACGCAAACACGAGCCAGCTAATGCGTCCAAGTCGGCCGGAGTGAGACGCACGAGCGGTAGCAGCCTACAGAGTGCCCTCGCGGCCCCAGCGCGGACCGCAGAGGACCTTTCCGATACCAACGCGGTGCGAGCCGCTCGCCATACTTCACGCAAAGCACCTCCCGCAGCGCCGCCCATACCCACACATATCTAACAAATAAATTATTATACATAGTGCATTGCTCAGATCTCAAATCAAGAAGCTTGAATTATCTCAATTTGAAACACCCAAGCATCTTAAAAATAAGACATGATAATATAGAAAAGTTTAATTTCTATATTGGTGAAGACGACACCTTGAAGCCGCGACGGAGGTCTTAACAACTACATATGTATCATTTACCGATATCACACTATTATAACGCCTTGATGTCTGGGTGGTGATCATTATCGAAGTGAGAGTGATTCTACCGATAAAATCAGCTGTTAGGCACTCCTCAAATGGAGATACTTAAAACTGAAGGAATTAATCTGTAATTATATTCGCAAACCAATTCGATACTACTCTCGCATACGACGTTACACCAGTTGCAAGGTAGTAAGTACTACAGTAGGAATGGGAATGTTCGAGCGTTGACGCTAATGCACCTTGTTCATGGTGTAAGTTTGTAATCAGTTCCTTTTGAAAGGCTCCAAGTGTAAAGGACTTAAATTAGGCTAAGAGAAAATTAAAGGGAACCTGTTTCTTCCTAGTCTGAAAGTAGCTAGTCGATGGACTGTATGGTAACCAATGTAGGTGTGAATGAAAATTAAATAAAAGGACAATCAATATAATTTTGTGGTACGATTGGCGATCTTAACGCTAAAAAGCTGTAATGTAAACTACACCTACTATCTTGTAAGTTTTAAGTAAGGTTTTTATATATTTATGTATTTGTTTTTTTGCTTTAGATCATTGTAGACAATTTAAAGTGCAGTATAAAAATAAATGTATTAATTTTTTTGCTACCATCTTCATAAAAAATAGTATACAAATAAAGTCAACGAAATTAAAATAAAATTTTATTGACTTTGATTAAAAATATTTATCATGCCAATCATAAGTAATTAGATCAGATGCCCCTAATGCACATTTAAGATTAAAGCCAATCTCAAGTAATAAAAACTAAAAATCTCAATATATAAAATAATTAAGACTTATCTAAGTGCAATATAGAAACAACTATGCTTTTTCTGTAACTGCTGACATTAGTGAATATTACCTTATTTGGACATAGGTGTTTTCAGGTATATATAAAACTGATGAGTAATAAATTCATTAAGAAAACAGCAACACTTAAGTGCCACACTGTTACTTCAAGTCAATTTTACCTTTTCTAATGTATTCATAATCTCCAGTCTTGTTTGAGATTCAGCACTCTTAAGGGAACGAACTAAGGTAGTTACTGTCTCTTCATAAGACCTACCCATCATCCTGCCAAGCTTTTCATACATGCTGCCAAGACAGCAGATGGCAGCACTAAAACGTCATCAAGAAAAAATGTTTTAAATATATAAAAGTCAATATTTAACGCCAATTTAAATTTATATTAACAACTAATGCAATATTTAAACATTTAAAATTCATTATCTCATTTAAGTATTTATAAATATTTTTCGAGATATAAACAATAGTCTAATAGTTAACATATCTAATAAAAATATATGCAATTAAAAAATAAAATTTAATTAACTAATTAAATAAAATTAGAAAGTCTTTCAGAGACAACTTACAGCCTTGTTGGTAAATATGAGGGAGAGTCATCTTTGACTTTGATTATATCATTACACTTGTTGACAGTATCAAACAACAGAAATGTGTCTCCAACAGAAAATAATGTAGCGAGACATCTGGCTAGCAACCGTCGGGCGGGTGCACCTAATGACTCCCGAAGAAGATTCAGTAATTGTGCCACTAATTTTTGCTGACAACTTTTTATGTCGGACTGCAAATAGAAAGCAGAAATACTAAAAATATTCTAAGGTCTTTATCAGAAATAATTTATTAATAAAATATTACCTTATGTGCAGCAACCAAAACTTTGTCAAGGAACCGAAGCCACTCAAATATGAAATGGGGCCTCTTGTCATCAGGTAACTGTTGCAGAGCAGCTTCGTTTAAAGTGAGAGAATGTGATACCTCCATTGTTCTACAATTATCAAATTTCATTTCATTTAAAATCTTCTTTATAAAATTCTCAGTAACATTGACAATAGTAAACATTTATAATGAACATATGTGAAATATAGAGTAGATTTCAGAACTATTCAGAACTAATTTTACAATTTAAAAAATAAAACTAAAAGAAACCATTTGCTCTAATGTTCTTACAAATATTTAATTATCCAAACGTCTACATCCTCTTTTCTATTAAGTATACCTCTATAATCCCATCATGTATTTATCTAAAAATAATATAAATTTAATTAGAAGTAATCTAAAATATCAACTATAAACACTGATACAGTTTGACTTTGGTGGCATAGAAATAAAAGCTATAATAGCAAGTTCAATTTTTAAATGCTACAAAATTTCAATTTTGAAAATCAAGATGCTTGATAGTTCTTTCATCATATTTACATCAACCATTAATATTTGATATAAGCTGTATACTTAAATCATTATTAATCAAGTTGATTTTACTTTAGTGTTTGGTACTACTACATGGTTATTGTGTAGTAAGTAAATCATATCATAAAAAAATGTTCCTCAACATTGTTAATAGGAAAAACCTAAATTAATGCATAGCTTTCCAAGGCTAACAATTAACAATGTTCCCAACTCTTAAATTCATACTTAAAAATAGGATGTAATGAATGACGCTGAAATGTTTATCGTTTACTATATGGATGTGTCAACAGATGAATCAGAATATGTATCGAGATGCTACACAAAATAAAGAATAGATGTAATTGGCCAGTTCATTCCAGATAAATACTTTACATTTGAGGTACCCAATTTCATCAGTATAATAACATTTTAGTTATACGTTAAATACATTACGAACCGTAGAGTTGTAACATTCACTTCACATAACAATTTTTAATTCTAATAGACAAAATAACAAGCTCAGCTCCGGTTAATCAATCTTGCTTACGATACTATTAATGATAAATTATTTTGAAACGTTAAAATATAAAAGTTTTTATGAATACCACGATCACAAAAATCTTCTTTTCAGGAAACAGACAACAGGACCATTCCATTTGATTTTGACAATTTGTAATTTGTTTTGACTTGACATTTGACACTGAGAGCTATGCTTTTTTTTATTTATTCTGATTATGGAAACAAGTCCTTCAGTCGCATACAGAAAAATCATTATTTCTAACTTACATAACTAATTAAAAAAAGAAACTCAGATAACTATTTACAACACAAAACAAAAATTTGAATTCAGATTTTTACAACGATGCTTTCTATATACTAAATATTGGTATGTAAAAGTCTTTATTAGATAGCAAACAGCACTCGGCGAGGAAGATTTATTTCATTGCGTTTACAAATGTTATCAAGTGCACTAGCTAAAATGAGTCGTTGGACGTTGAAATATGGGCAAGTCATATTAACACATGTTCTAGATCTACATCCTCTGAACAGTGGAGGCACACGACAGGAACGAGTCAGTGTCCGAGACGCATGTGAAAAATTATTGTGATGAACTTTCTGTTCCTATACTTGAACTTCTCATGTCAAGGTATGAAGGCGATATCTTTCTGGATATCGGCTAACCAATTGCCGTTAGATAGTAGAATAGTAGTCCAGTAATCTTTCCATAATTTTCTCGACAGAAAGGCTTGAAATCTGTGAAAGGCACCTGTAGGATATCGCTATGGTTTTCATCAGGGTCAGTGTGAATTCCACAATAACATGTCTGTTCTTAAATTGTTTCAAAACTAACTATAATTGTATAACATGGTAAATTATAAATACAATATTAATTATAGTTACATTTTAAACTAAAAAAGCCATTAACAAGTGCTCTTAACACACTTCTAGAATCTGTTACTAATACTTAACTGACACTATTTATATTTCTATTTACATAATCTAAAGCTTGATTCCATCAGTGTTTCCAACAATAAGCTTGCATACCACCAGCAGGCCTATTCGCTAACGCAGTTGACAACCTAAAATTATAATAATAAAAAACAGTGAATAACTTCAATGTATCAAAATTGTTTATTCATATTTGCTATCAATGGTTCGCAATGAGGAAGTATTTAAAAAAACTAGAACTAATAGAAAAAAATAGATGCGGTACGTTCTTGATTTCTTCATTACAATCCTTCCGAGTTTCATTCATGCATTAAAGTAAATTAATTTTCAAAACTCAAAAAACACTCATATCTAAAATACATAAAATAGTTATATAGTTTTTTCTTTTGAACTGAAAACCAGATAATTTTTTTCCGTGTGGCTGTACGGGTAAAATTCCGTTATCTTTTTCAATAGAACAAATAAAGTCAATGTTTTACTGACGACCTGCCTGGCTGATGCTTGGAGTTGGAAAGGTTCAATAAAATCGGTTTATTTATTTAGATAACAAAATATATTAGATACTTGTGTTATTGACAGAAATTATAAATTAACGTGAAATATACCAAGGTTTAGTTTTTAAGATTACAATGATATTTGAACTATAATAGGTAGCAATAACTAGAGAAAAATACCCGTTTACTTTTGTGAACGTGAATCCAGATCAATGAATACTATGAGTTCACAACAGAGTCCGGCAAACATTCAAGCCGTCGTTGACAGAGAGAAGATATACACATGGATTTTGGAGTTGTGCAATCCAGAAACTCGGGAAAACGCTCTTCTCGAGCTTAGTAAGAAACGCGAGGTTGTTCCAGATTTAGCACCCATGTTATGGCATAGCTTTGGAACAATTGCCGCGTTGTTACAAGAAATTACAAACATATACGTGGCGATGATACCTCCTACGCTAACAGCTCACCAAAGTAATCGTGTATGTAATGCCTTGGCGCTAATGCAGTGTGTAGCCTCACATCCTGAAACAAGATCTGCATTCCTTCAAGCTCACGTGCCGTTGTTCCTATATCCTTTTCTCCATACTGTTTCCAAGACACGCCCTTTCGAATACTTACGACTTACCAGTTTAGGAGTAATTGGTGCTTTGGTGAAAACTGATGAACAGGAAGTAATCACTTTTCTATTAACTACTGAAATCATCCCACTTTGCTTGCGTATTATGGAGAATGGATCTGAATTATCCAAGACAGTAGCCACATTTATTTTACAGAAGATCTTACTGGATGATAGTGGACTATGTTACATATGTCAGACATATGACAGGTTTTCACATGTCGCAATGATTTTGGGAAAAATGGTGCTATCACTTGCGAAAGATCCGTCCGCCAGGCTTTTGAAACATGTTGTTCGCTGCTATTTGCGTCTCTCTGACAATCCTAGAGCTAGAGCCGCACTCCGGCAATGTCTTCCTGACCAACTGAGAGATGCAACATTTACAGAATGTCTCCAAGAAGATAACTCCACAAAACATTGGTTGGCTCAGTTGATCAAAAACTTGGAAGCTCAGCCACCACCTGCTAGTCCTGCACAACAAAATATGTGAGCGTTGCTTTCTCTAAGGCCCACTCTGAATGATATGCAATGAGTAGTCATTAATTTATTGATATTATCTTTTCAAATTCTAATCCTTTATTAATACTTACTTTAAATTTCTAAACCTATATTCTAATTTTTACTGGAATCATTTCTTTTTTCAACCCATTTTGGGTATTATGATGAAATTTATAGTTCTTATTTAAATCTAAAAACTTGATTTCTGTTTATTATGTAGTGTGATTAATTTACTGCCAGTGTTCACTTTTTGACCACTCCAAGTTATTAAGTTTTCCTTTATTCATGAAATTGTTACTATATTATGAAAAACTAAACTACTGTCTGTAATAAAATCATAGTGGGCGTTAGTGTGTCAGTTGTTTGTTTAAAATGCAACATATCTTGTAACATGAAATTGACATTTTACTATAAGTAACAAAATAATCAATATTAACTATTTGGTCTCACATAATGTTCATTGTATTATTTTTAGGTATGCATCAAGATGAAAAGAACTAATTTTGTAAGCAGATGTTGTGGACTGGACTAGGAATAAAGATTTTCGTAATTTGGCATATTTTTTTATTTATAGCAAAATAAAACAAGACTCTCAGGCTGCATGTCAGGTTAGCAAAATATGTTAAATTTTACCAACTAATTTCCATTCTACCTTCAAAGAATTAGGTTTAAAATCAATTGGAAAAATTTTACAGCTTTGTATAACCTGACATATTGTTGACTACTATGAATTAAATGTAAAAAAATGCCTACAGTTGAATTTAATCATTACAATTTATATCCTTTCAATTGGTTTTCTACAAAGATGTAAGATACAACTTGATTGTCATTTAATAATGCTCTCGCATTATTTTATAGAGATTACTAGTTTTCCGCCAGCGGCTTCGCCCATGTCCTCCTGTATTATATGGACCACGCGGCAGTGCCACCATCTTTGATTTTTAAATGAATTGATCCATTTAGTCAAGTCCCTTATTTATCAGTCCGTTACGAAATACAGAAATAAAATAAGCCAAGAAGGTACGTAGTTTCCGAGACAAACAAGTATTCTTGGCACTGCTGGGCTGACGTCAGTTTGTAGGACTTAAAAAGAATTCCAAAAAATCTTCCAATTCAGATTTTAATCCCTTATGTATCAGTCTGGGACAAAGCGGTTGAAATAAATATTGTTACAATTATAGAGTTATAAAAATCTTAACGCCAATGAGGGAGTATTTAAAAAATTAATTGTTTCCGAAATCAAACTAGATGTCGCTACGGTACGTTCTTGATTAATAAAAACATTTGTTCCCAAAACATTTGTACCTTCTTGATTTCTTCATGACAACACTTCCGATTTTCTTTCATATATAATAGGAAATTAATTTTCCAAACTCAATAAACAACTCATATTCTATTTGTACTTTTTGTATTGATATCTAAGTTTCGAACTTTGCAAATTTCAGTTTTTTAATATATTGGTTAAAAGGAACGGTAATTATTATCTTTGGTCAATTCTTTTGTTGCAAAAATTTACTTTTACTAGAGTCGTCAGTCGCCATCAAGTGAGGTTTTTTTTTGGTGCTTTCTTTTCTTTTAATACTTTCTCATTAAATTCACAATTCGACCAATAACAAAACTCTAACTTCAACTCCACTATTTACTTCCAACGCTATTCGATTGTTCCAATAGTTCACTTCACTAGTTTTCGCTTCGAGTTTCACTTCCGATCGCTCTTGTATTCAGTTCACTAGTTACTGAAAGAATTCAAAGACGAGTAGTTCACCACGTATTTATAGGAGCCATTACCACAATGTAGAATATTCTATTCGACTTTATTTAATTAACAAAAGTACAAAAATTACTAACAACAAAATACACGTTATATTTCAACTACATGAAATGTGACTGAAGGGTTGAAAATACAGCTGACTCCTGAAGGGGAACGATCAACCAGATCGGGTGGGGATTTTAGGGTCGATATGTATACCTATAAGTGTTAACGCGATTCATTGGCACACCATCTAGTAATGCGTATATTAACCGCGCCGCTGCTGCGCCTAGTAACAATATATTTTTTATGAGTTTTCTGTATTTATAAGAACTATCTGCTTATAGAATTTTATACTTGGGAAACAAGTCTGCCAATTTGGGTAACTTTATACAGAAAACTAGGACCTCAGTTCTGCTAATGTTTAGGTGAAATTGTAATTTACGTGAATCTACCTGAAGTACAATATTAAAATGCTTCCTCACAAATCATAGTGACAGATATATTTATTAAACTATTGTATACTATTGTCACAGTACAAATAAATAAGTAGGCGCACTCGAGACCCGAGCGAGAGATTATAGCCTAATCATGTAGGGCTGTCACTTATGGGCTATTCAATCGTCAGAAATGCATGGTCAATCAATCTCTAAATTTTAGTTTCCCCCGGTATGGTAAGTATTAGGAACTACTACCCAGATAACATGGAAACTTAGGGCAAGTTTGATTTTCTTTGATTCTTAATTGCTGCGTCAAATATGATGAAGTAAGTTTGTGACATTGTCGCTATAATATTGTTGTGTTAAATATGAAGCTTCAAGTTTGCGACAATATTGTTTGAATATTGTTATGAAGATACTTATAAAACACACCCATCATCTTCATAGGTACCCGAATAGTTCTAAGTCTGCAAACTAGATGGCGATGTTCATTTAATGCATCGCGGTATCAGTTTATATTGTTTGATTGTATGAGTAATATGCCGTTTAATGTAATCTTAATATGGGGTTCGAAACCAACTGTTCCAGTTAATTACTTTGGCTCTTAGGCTAGGCTCTGTGCTGTAGTCAGAGTTTGAAATCGCTTTTGTCAAAACTTTTGGTCCTAAAGCGATTGGACCAAAAGATTTGAATAATCAAAAGATTAAATGACAGCGGGCCGACTGCTCAGCCGGCCGAGCCGGACAGCAAGTGTTACGGACGTCGACGACGTGAAACACCGTAGCTAAATTCCACTTTTAATTATATCAAAGCATTAATTCAATTGATTTCCAATTCCATAAATTTGAAAAACCTCTGAGCTCACTTCCATTATTTTAGTTTCTATTTTCCTCTATACAAATGAAAAATAAATGTATTCAAAGATTACTTTGTATTAATCGAGTTGCGTTTGCATAACTCGAACTAGTTAAATTTCAACTAGGGAGGCCACGACTGGCGAGTTACCATTCGTGCCTTGAAGTCCTATACCTTCGACAATTTTGTAATTATGTGCGTGCGACGACGTATACGCACGAGCGCGCTCGCATAAAACTATTTTCGGTGCATGCGTATGTATGAAGAGCACTAACTCTTTGTTTGTACTCTACTATTGTGATCTAGTCACAAGAACTGTTATAAGGGGTTGTTGTTGAAACGCTCAAACACTATCGACTTCCAGAGCGCTTAGTGTAAGTTTTTTTGACGTTTACGTTCACTGTCGATCGTGAGCGCGTTAAGATTTTAGTATGGAATCCGGTACAGCGTCCCTAGCGGTGACTACCAAGAATTACAAATCTCCGTACAAATTCTTAACGCGCTCACTAGTGAACGCGTTAGCGTAAAACTTACACTTAGGTACCACTCTGTAATTACACTATGCCCACTATTTCATTCCGTTTGCTATGTCGTACCATCAATGGTCGAAATAAAAAGTTAGCAAAGAAATCGTTAAAATTTGGAAAACTACATTCTTCATTTTCAATGTAGCATAAACGAATCCTCTATAAGTTCAACAGTAATTAGTGATGGATTTTATTCTTTTGTGTAAGATACAAAAATTACGAGTAATTTTCTTAGGAAACCTTTAAACTTTATTGATTCTAAAACTGAAAGTTATGTATATTGTTTTTGAGGAATTTAAAGTAAGAAAACTTAAACTTTTTGCAGAAACGTTTACTTCTTTCCAGGCATCCCCATAGATCTTGTCATCCGCATACGAAACTATTTTGCAGTTTTCTATTTCCAGTTGACACAGCTAGTTAATTTAGCACAGAAAGTAAGACACTGCCCTGCGGAACACACGCAGTTTATCGTTACTTCATTGCAACTATTACAACCAATTTTAACACTATGTCCGGTTTTGCAAGTAGTCTATTTGTTTTAATTAATTTTGGTGGTGGCCAAAGAAACATTCCGTAGAGACCACGTTACTTTTGATTTTGTCGCCCCTCATTTTTCCGTTCTGAATAATTGGCTTACTAAGACCAGACGACGAGTCGGACTATATGTTATAGAAACGCCGCAAGGTTCCTCCTTGATTCCAAAAACAAAATAGCCTTAAAAGTAAAAAAATTAACTCCATAAATAGATCTTTACTATTGATTACAGGAAAAGCTATGAAGCTTATGGTTTAAAAAAAAAATATACCTAACCCTTAGAGCGTGAATCCAATTCGTACTTGACTAGCTTTTTTTTTTGGAAACAAAATCAGATATAAATAACAAGAAATATTTTTAAATTCATTGTCTTATTATATTATATTATATTGCAGTTACCTAAAGCATCTATACACTTTCAAAAGGCGGAAATGTTTGTTACAAAATGCGAATAATTAAAAATCTGGTCCTCTTGCAGGCCCTTTACTTATAGCCCATCTTCTAACAACCATGTTATTGGTATTTGTTTTTATAGGAGCACCTGCAGATTTATCCTGCATTTGTCTTTTCATTGAATTTTTGTTGAAGCTCGTTTGGACATCTACATCATAAACGAGTTTAGCTTTACTAATTTTGTTCATAGAATGTTTGTTCTCCTCCTGAACAGCGCAATTTATCATACTGACACATCGTGCTGAAGCTTTATCCAATGTCGGATGATGCTTAAAATTTAGAGTTTGAGTATCCTTGGTGGAAAACAGAAACTTATTTCGCTTTTGTCCACAAGTGCATTTGCTGTCTCTTCTTCTAACTATAGTCACACAGTCATTATCACATTTTAAAGGTCCGGTTTTGATAGTGTTCGATGATACATCCACGAACTTTTTTTTAAGTAATGTTTCTTTGGATTTAAACTTGTTAATTACTATTTTGTTTCTATAAGCGTTTGTTTTCGGTAGCACTTTATTGATTTCTCTCTTTTTTTCGACAATTATTGAATTTGTAGGCCTACCTTTATACCTATTGCTCGTAGAAGACGATATAAAACTGACGCTATTGGGAGTATTACTCTTTATGCCATGTTTGAATGATCTTGTCGACGTTTCTTCATATATCTTTTCGCAGAGTTTCTGGGCTACCGAAGACATTTGTGTCTGACTTTATGGGTTTATTTTGGTGGTTCTTAAATTTTGTATTTCACCAACATTTTCATTGAATCAGACTGCCTGATGATGGTATTCTTCAAAAGATGATTTGTTTATTCATAATTTGTGTATTTGATTTGTTCATTTCATTTACATTTTTTAATAAACAAAATTATATTGTTATAAAACAAAATGACACTCCAACAACATTTTGACAAAATTGTCATACGGTTTTTTTTTTCATGAGACAATCTCCATAGTTGGGTGGCACGCTGCTGGTTCTTCTTCTTTTATCTTTTTATTAATGGCTTATCTGCGCATTTCGCACAATTCTGCCAATGTCAAGTGATTAAATTCATCATCATCATCAGCCCTTTTACGTCCCCACTGCAGGGGTTCAAGGCTTCCTTATGATGGATAAGGTGGATGAGCCAAGACCCTCCACGCTGACCCAATGCGGATTGGAGGGTAATTAAATTAGGTGATTAAATAAGTTGAATGAATTCCTACATGTAAAATAAAATTGAAATAAATAAAACAACATGTTGCTCCGCCGCTGATTTCATCTTCTTCCATCATTAAAGTCACGGGTTCGATTTCAATGTAAGTAAATGAAACAAACCTGCGCGAACTATGTATGCCTATGTGTGCAGGCTTTCAGATTTTCATAGATATTCATTTAGTGGAAAAAAGGACGTAATATCCCATTTACATGGCCGTATCATATCATTCATGCTATAGTCTACCAATCGGAAATTCATTGTATTTATGAAACTGAAACTTATATTTTTGTATATCTTATTTTTTTGTATACTACCTAACACTGAAGACGGGCTGTATGGACTAAGATCCTTTTACCTAAAACGAAATGACTATTTACTTTAATAATTTTTGGTGCGAGCCGTTGCGAGAAGCGTGGCCTCGTAAGTATTTTTCGATTTAACATCATCACTGGGTATATATCTCAGTGGTTAGAGCTGTCGCCCGGATTGCGAAAAGTCATGGGTTGGAACCCTTCTCAGAGGATCCCAGGCACAAAGTGGATTTTTTAAGCATTTTTCAAATTGTTGGATCTAAACGTCAATTCATGACGTTAACCCAAAGAGAATAGAATTGACAGTGTTGGATGGATCTGATAACTCGGATTAATATTAGTGATGTGACAACTCGGAAAAAACAAAACTCGATTTAACCCGAGTTAAAATCCACATAGCTCGAGTTGAACTCGAATTACATAACTCGAGTTAACTAGATGGACAAGCAGTGGCGTAACTATAGCGATTGAAGCCCGTGACAAATTCATCGGATATTCATTTTTTTTTTTTACTAATTGCGTAATAATAAATGTCAGGAGTAAGGGGTCTCCTCTGACCGGGGGCAATCTGAACTGAATTTGAACATTGTTAACACGCAACACATCCACTCACTGGGGATTCGAATACATGCCAAAATAAAGATTTTCTTTTTCTCCCGACATTTTTTAAAAACAGAACATAAAACACCAAAGTTTACAACAATAACCGGCAGTTTAAAATTAACCTCAAAGCTACATAATATATTATTATGTGACACTTGTTTGTGATGAATGAATGAATAAACGTCATAGTCTTATTCAAATGATCGGCAAACTTCTCTCCATGTCGGTTCCATTCGGTTAACGAACTCGAGTTAGAGAGAATTCAACTCGCGTGGGCTCGAGTTACGCCCAACTCGAATTCACTCGAGTTGGTCACTCGAGTTGACCATCACTAATTAATATCGAGTTGAAAAATTAGTTCGAGTTATGCAAACGCAACTCAATTTATACAAAGTAATCTTAGATTAAAATTCTTTTTTATTTGTATAGAGGAAAATGGAAACTAACATAATGGAAATGAGCATAGAGGTTTCTTTTTTATTTATGGAAATCCATTGAATTAATGCTGTGATATAATTAAAAGTGGCAATTAGCTACGGTATACAATAATATTACCGCCAAATATTTTTTATAAATTAAATACTTATGCCATAGTAGGTCTGGGAATTTATCATTATAATATTCAACAAAAGTTCTGAAAATAATAAAAACTACGTAAGTTAGTTTTATTGCTATTAGTTGTTTGTTGAACTTACAACAACAAAACTACATCAACTCTAGATAATATTTTTATATGTATTATGTATGGTGAATGAATGAATAGGGTTTATTAATCAGCAACAACGATAATTATAATAAAAAATCCGTTTATTATCTATATTCTTACCCGATATGTATCAAATATACTAGGTATTCGTACAAAATAACATGACTTCTGGCTAAAATAACGTTTGTGCAAAGTGTAACGTGCAAATAACTTGTGCTTTCGAAATTAAGGCTTTAAAAAAATAAGATCAGTTATTAAATCTTATATTATAATTAAATCATCTTAATAAACATTCAGCAAACAACTAGAAATGTCTGTTCTAAACGAACAGCAAGGTTATAACTTTAAATTTCAAAATCACAATGGCACGTACAGTTATTATACTATTGCTACTGATCTTGCTTGTTGACGGCGGACGTCGAGCCATGTGATAAGTTAATTCGTACGGTGGGTATGTGCTTTTTGGTTCTTACAATGATATTGTAAATAATAGATTGACATCCTACACAACCTACTCCAGAAATCAGTTTTATTGAAATATATTATTTACTAAGTACCTAGAGTAGTCACGCTCTCTTAGGATATCTGCGGTGATGTCGTGTGCGTTAGGTCGTTACGTTCCCTCAAATATAGTATAGTTGACTTATATAGTTGAAATTAAAACCATTGAAAAAGTTTTCGACTTTCACAAGTACGATGTAACAGCCTAGACTGAATTGATTTTTATATTTATATTAATATCATTCGTTTTGTGGATGCATAATGACCAGAGGTCGGAATTAGGCAGAGTTATTTATGTACTTGCATCGAAATGTTGATATTAATGTGGACCTTCCCGGGAATTCTTTATTTCTTCTTTCTTTATTTTTTTCTTTCATTGATGTAAGTTTGGCAACGTCGTGCGTGCAGTAGTTTAAATTATGTAAAAGTAAATAACTTTTTATTTAAAAAATCACGGGATTTTTCTGCTCTTTAAAATTAATCTCGGAATTTGAGGCATATCCACTTTATTCTTTCGCTGTATGAAATCAGTGTAAGTACATGAATATCTCTACCTAATTCCGACCACTGATAATGACAAATACAAGCTGAATTCTACGCTCCGCTTTTTGTTCTTCATTAGCAACCATTAAGTTGGCTCATCACTAATGTTGACGTATCAGCCTAACATTGTTCCTTTACACGTTACATAATAAACAACTTAAACTTACTATTACAATAAATTAAAATTAATTTGAATGATAGATATTATAAGAAATACAAAACGATGACATATTTATTAATTTTCGATACTCAATTTACTTTCATTACGTCAGAAACAAAATTTTAATGAATATCTTAAACAAAATTCAAACATCGCAAATGACATCTAGTATGATTTCAAGAACCAATTTTTATTTTTTAAATACTTCTTCATTACGTCATCAAAATGGCGGCCAGGCGCATTAGCAATAGGGATGATGACTAATTTTTGTTTGTTTGACCGTCAGGTACAGTGTTAAAAAATATTAAACACGTATATTTTTATTTTTTTCGTAATCATAAAATTACGACGTTACATTGAGTTGAAATTTCGCATGACGTCACGTTAGAGTACGTTTTCTACTCAACTGTGACGTAGCGAGCCTTCACTCCTCAACTTAAATGCCTGTTATTTAAGCTATTTCTTGTTAAATTGAAGTAAAAAAAAAATACATATCTAATATTTTTCTATTATCTGACTGACGGACTAAATAGAATTGAATTTTTTTTACCCAATCATCATCCCTATTTGCGGGGATAATATTGATCAAAAAAATGAGTAGAACGTTTTAGCTTTCAACTGCACGGAAGACCTAAAGAGTGAAGTATATCGGACCTACAATGCCGCACTCTTAGAATAAATAACAAAGCTTTAATGTCTCAGGCCGCACTGAGAATGGTTAGATGATTAAAAATGCGTGGATTTTTACAAGAGAAGTGGGAATTCGTCGTCATATTTAATTAATTTCAAAAATTGACAGAATTGTTCGAAATGCGCTGATATGACATCAATAAAAAAGATTTTACGGTTAATAAATAATATGAGATTTGTATAAAATTCGATTAGTTAGAAATAAAATCGATTTTGTTCTTTGAAAAGAGATGGACTTCTCTAAGAATGACATTATTTCATGAAGATAAAGTAAAAGAACTTAGCTTCATGCATTATTTGATTGATTACAGATGCGTTCAAAAATAATATAATTTAAACTGCGTTCTAAAATGTAAAAACATATTGTAGAGAGAATTATCTTTATTTTCCCAGCTTTTAAAAATAAATTGTTGGTATATAATAATTACATTCAACTTATACTACATTTTGGCGATGAGTTACTGAAGCCCGTAACCAATAAAAAAAATTAATGACAGTGTATTATGCTAATGTGCACTCCCTATTAAGTTATGCGTTGACAGTCTGGGGAAATGCTTCTGATATAAATCGTTTACTAAAATGCCAAAAAAGGTCATTACAAATTATAAATGGTTTGCGCGAGCGTACGTCAGCCAAACCTTATTTTAAACAAAATAAAATAATGACAATTATTTCTTTATACATTTACAAATGTTTAATAGAAATACACTATCGGGATTCACATTTGAGAAAGAAGGATATCCATAGCTATAATTTAAGTAATAAGGAACGATTGTGTTTGCCTAGAACAAGATTGGCAAAGGTACTAAAACAAGGCATGTATAATAAAATTACAATGTATAATAAACTTCCGCTGAGTATAACAAACTATGAATTATGTCTATGCGTTTGGAAGAATATTCATTTCTACATAAAGATGGGTAAGGTAGGAAATTGACTAGATCTCTATGGTAGATGACAAGATATAATAATCATCAATATTTTAT